ATATGTTGAACCATCCCTGCTTCCCTGGGATGAAGCTTACTTGGTCGTGGTGGATGATTTCTCTAATGTGTTTTTGGAGTTGATTTGTCAGTATTTTATTATTTTTTTCATCAGTGTTCATGAGGGATATTGGTCTGTAGTTCTCTTAGTTGTGTTTTTGTGTGGCTTGGGTACCAAGGTAATTGTAGCCTTGTAAAAAGAGTTTGGTAATGTGTCTATTGTGTGGAACAATTTGAGGAGTATTAGTATTAGCTGTTCTTTGAATTTCTGGTAGAATTCTGCACTGAGGCCATCTGGCCCTGGGCTTTTTTTTCATTGGAAGACTTTGATCACTACTTCTATTTCATTAGGGGTTGTAGGTCTATTTAAATTGCTTGTCTGTTCTTGATTTAATTTTGGGAAGTGATAGCTATCCAGAAATTTGTCCATTTCCTTTGGATTTTCGAATTTTGTGGACTACAGGTTTTCAGAGTATGATCTCAGGATTTCCTCAGTGTCCGTTGTTATGTCTCCCTTTTCATTTATAATTTTGCTAATTTGCATGTTCTCTCTGCTTTTTGGTTAGTTTGCATAAAAGTTTGTCTATCTTATTGATTTTTCTCAAAGAACCAACTTTTTGTTACATTGATTCTTTGTATTATTTTCTGTTTCTACTTTATTGATTTCAGCCCTCTATTTGATTATTTCCTGGCTCCTCTTCTGGGGTGAGTTTGCTTCTTTTTGTTCTAGAGCTTTCAGTTGTGCTGTTGATTCTCTAATGTGACTATCCTCCATTTTCTTCATGGGGACACTTAGTGCAATGAACTTTCCTCTTAGTACTGCTTTCAAAGTGTCCTATAAGTTTTGATATGCTATGTCTTCATTCTCATTGCATTCTAGGGACTCTTTCATTTCTTTCTTATTTCTTCCTTGACCCAGGAATGATACAGTTGTGCATTGTTCAGTTTCCATGGGTTTGTAGGATTTCTGCAATTTGTGTTGTTGAATTCTAACTTTATAGCATGGTGGTCTGATAATATACAGGGGGCTATTCCAATTTTTTAATATCTATTGAGGTTTGCTATGTTGTGGATGGAATATGTGGTCTATTTTAAAGAAGGTTCCATGTGGAGCTGAGAAGAAGGTATATTCTTTTGTGTTTGGATGTAATGTTCTATAGAAGTCTATTAAATCCAATTGGGATATAACTTCTGTTAATTTTTTTGTTTGTTAAGTTTCTGTCTCATGATCCTGTCTAGTGGTGAGAGTGGGGTGTTGAAGTCTCCCACTATAAATGTGTGAGGTTTTATGTGAGATTTGAGTTTTAGTAATGTTTCTTTTACAAATGTGGGTGCCTTTGTATTTGGGGCATAGATGTTCAGAATTGAGACATTGTGCTAATGGAGTTTTCCTGTGGTGAAATGACCTTTTTTAATCTCTTGATTGATTTTAGTTTGAAGTCTAATTTGTTAGATATTAGGATAGCTACACCTGGTTGTTTCTTGGGTCCATTTGATTGGAAAATCTTTTCTCAACTCTTTACTCTGAGGTAGTTGTCTGTCTTTGAAGCTGAGGTGTGTTTCTTGTATGCAGAAGAAGGATGGGTTCTGTCTTTGTATCCATTCTGTTAACCTATGTCTTTTTATAGGCAAGTTAAGACCATTAATATTGAGGGAAATTAAGTACCATTGATTATTAATTCTTCTTTGTTTTGGATTTGGTGGTGGTGGTGTGAGTAGATTTGCCCCCTTTTTCTTTTGGCTTCTGGTACAGTGGGATTATATATTGCCTATATTTCTGTGAGTGTAGTTAACTTCCTTGGGTTGGAGTTTTCCTTCCAGAACTTTCTGTAGGGTTCCATTTGTGGATATATATATGTGTGTGTGTGTGTTGTGTAAATCTAGTTTTATAATGGAATGTCTTGTTTTCTCCCTCTATAGTGATTGAGAATTTTGCTGGGTATAGTAATCTGGGCTGGCATCTGTGGACTCTTAGTGTTTGTAGAACATCTATCCAGGACCTTCTGGCTTTCAGAGTTTCCATGGAGAAAGCAGTTGTAATTCTGATAGGTCTGCCTTTATATGTTACCTGGCCTTTTTCCTTCACTCCTCTTAATATTCTTTATTTATTCTGTATGTTTGGTGTTTTGATTATTATGTAGTGAGGGAACTTTTTTTGTGGTCTACTCTATTTGGTGTCCTGTGTGCTTCTTATAGTTTCATAGGCATGTCTTTCTTTAGGTTGGGAAAGTTTTCTTCTGAGTTTGTTGAATATGTTTTCTGCACCTTTGAGCTGAGCTTCTCCGCCTTCTTCTATACCTATTATTCTTAGGTTTGGTCTTTTCACGGTGTCCCACAATTCCTGATTATTTTGTGTTAGGATTTGTTGGGTTTAAGATTTTTTTTATTTTTGGTCGATGAATCTATTCTGTCTTCGATCTCTTGTATTCTGTTGGTTATGCTTGCATCTGTAGTTTCTGATCATTTATTCAGCTTATCTATTTCTAGCGTTCTCTCAGTTTGGGTTTTCTTTATTGTCTCTATTTCAGTGTTCAGGTCTTGAACTGTTTGAGTTGTTTCCTTCATCTGTTTGATTGGGTTTTCTTGGCTTTCCTTGCTTTCTTTAAGAGATTTGTTGATCTCTTGCATTTTTTTTTGTTTGGTCTTCTATTCCAATTTTTTGTTTCTTTTTTCTTCCATTTCTTTAAGGGATTTTTTTTTTTTTTCATATCCTCTTTTGAGGGCTCCTATCATTTTCAAGAAGTTGTTTTTTAGGTCATTCTCTTCTACTTCATCTGCTTTGGTGTGTTCAGGTCTTGTTGTTATATTGTCCCTAGATTCTGGTGGTGTCATATTGGTCTTTCTATTGTTGAATGTGTTCTTGTACTGCCATCTTCCCACCCCTTCTTACTGTGGGTGCAGGTGGGCTCTCTGTCTACTCTTCTGGTGGGGATAGGTGGGTCAGGACTAAGATTTCAGTAATTCTGGATGGTCCGAGCTCTCTTGGAGGTCTCAAGGAGAGGGTGTAGGAGGGCCAAGGGTCAGGTGAGGGCTGGCTCCGGATGTTCCCAAGTGGTGAGTGGGCAGACCCAGGAAGTTCCAAGCAGAGAGTGGGGGTGTTGGACCCGAACTGGCCAAACACTCACCTCAAGCAAGAGAGTGCAGCAGGCCCAAACACTTTTGTCAAGTTTTAAGTGGAAGTTCTTAGTACCCATGTTACAGGTGTTATAAGCACTTTCCTGCCAGCCTGGTCCCACAGCCGTGTCAGTCCCAAACAACACACAGAGGCACTGTATTAGTTATGAAACTGTTGACCTGTTACTAGTAGTGTTTTTTATTAGCTCTGTCTTAAATATTAACATTTTACTGCCATATGTAGAAAGAGTTTTCAGAGTTGCTGGAGTAGATCGATCTGCCTTGGCCCTAGGAAGTATCCTCAAATGCTTAGGTACGACTTATGTTGTGACAGATATCACTGTAGATATTGTTAATTAGAACAAAACAAAAATAAAGTTCTTTTATTTGGTCATTAGAGAAAAAGAACAAGTTCGAATTTGAATTTTCCACTTCTGTCCATTCATCTTCCCTCTGTCTGTAGTCTGGTTACTGTATCATCTGTAGTCTGTTCGTTGTGTTTGTCTTTGTCTGCTATGGATTATCTCTAACAGGTTGCTTTGCTCTATATTTATTGACTAACACAGAGATAGGGCATGGGAAAGGAATAGAGGTACTTTATAGGAATCTTTAATAGTTTTACATGGGGTGGAACTTTCCTGGCTCCACCTGACCCCAAAGCACTCAGAAAAACAATACTGCAAACAAACATTATTAAGCTATATTCATATGTCATATGCTGTTTCCAATATTTATGGTTGATATTTATTTTATAAGGTTGCTTCTAACACTCTCTCTCTCTCTCTCGCTTTCTCTCTCTCTCTCTCTCTCTCTCACTCACACTCCTGAATTTAGATACATGGAAAAGAATATAACTTAATGCATCAGCTTAGGTTGTAAATGGGAAATTCAAGGTATATTAAGGTTGGTTGTTGCATGTGTTCTCTTAAATTTGGGTTAAACAGGCTGAGCACTTGGGAGGCAGAGGCAGGCAGATCTCTGTGAGTTCAAAGCCAGCCTGGTCTACAGAGCTAGTTCCAGGACAGGCTCCAAAGCTACAGAGAAACCCTGTCTTGTAAAACAAAAAAATAAAATAATGTTCCTCAACAGCAGGGAATAGGGCCAGGAGTTGATCTACTCTTCTGACTTTAATCCTGAACTCATTCTCTTGTCTAAGATTCTGGGAAACCAGGTGTGGTTCCAGAACTCAAGTCTGAGACAAGAGAATCATGAGTTTTTAAAGACCAGTATAGTCTGCATGGTGAACTCCACAAACAGGCCTTGGTAAGAAACTGTCTCAAGAAACAAAAAAAAAAAAAAAAGTAAAACTGTGGGAAAGTATTTGTACACTAATGTTACAACAAGGAAGTGTTCTTTATTCCATCCCTTCCTCATCTCAGTGTGTGTGTGTGTGTGTGTGTAGACAGACGAGAGAGAGAGAGAGAGAACAAGCACGCTTATTTTAGCCCCATACTTTTCATTGCCTTAAGTCAGAATAGCCTTCATTTAAGTCCAGCAGATCTATATCCTAAATGTATTTAGGCCACACCTATTCCTGTTCTCTTGCTTCATCTGAGAGTCTTTCTCACCCAGCCTACCCAGGGAGGTCTACCTTTGGCTTCTCCAGTGACTGTGATTATAGCTGCTCCTGCTCTAACTGCACATGGCACACTTTTCACTATACACTTTATATCATTGTTACCTTTAATAGATGCTATTTACTCTCTCCTTGCTCTCTCCATTGTTTTCATGTGTCTACAATTTCTCATATGCCACTCTCCTTAAGCACTAGTTATTATAGTAAATACCCCTGTGTGATGGCGATGATGATGGCAGTTAAAGTGAATACATGCTTTCCTGAAAATGCATCCAGATAAACTTTCTTTTTCTGCTTTTGCTTTGTGATAGGCTGTTGATGATGTAAAGAAAGGTTACATTAAAGCAGAGGAGAAGTCTTACCAGTTACAGAAGCTATATGAACAAAGGAAAATGGTCATGGTAAGTTTGTGTCTCCAGATACTTTTATAAAATGCCCTCATTACCTGTTAAACTTCTTGTCCTGGTCAATTTTGAAAGGTACCACAATCTGGTTAGAGGCTTAATTAATTAAGAGGGAAAACATATAGACGTTTATACAAAAATCCCGTTATATTTCCCCCATTTATTACATCAAAAACTTGGATTATTATACATAGGCATATAGTTTTGTTAATAGCCAAATAATATACTTGTGTATGAAGAACTGGGACTAGAGATCCACTTCTGTAATCCTAGCACTCTGGAAGTGGCCGAGGCAGGAAAAATGGGTTGTCCTTAGCTGTCTAGTGAGTTTGAGGCCAGCCTGGGCTACATGAGTCCTGACACAAAACAGCAACAGAGTGATGTTTAAACCACAATGTAGGCTGGAGAGTTAAGAACACTTGCTGATCTTGCAGAGGATCTGAGTTTGAGTCTCAGCACCCACATGGCTGTTCACGACTGTCTGCAATTCCATTTCTAAGGAGTCTGATGCTCTCTTCTGACCTCTATGGGCCCTAGCACACACATGGTATACTTATATACTTGCAGGCAAAAACACTTTACATAAAATAAATACATCTAAGTAAACCCTTAACATTCTAGTATTTAGATTTTTTTTTAATTAGTATTTATCTATTCTAGAGCATGTCTTAGCCCAGGTTAGCCTGGAGCTTGGTGTGTAGTCCAGACTGGCCTCAGACTCTCTATAAAGACCAGGCTAGCCTTGAAATTTGACTTGAACTTCCTGTTTCAGCCTCCCAGTTGGTAAGGTTACAATAATAAGCCACCCCATTCAATTAGATTTTTAACATTAAAATTTAGTTTCGCTGTGAGTTAGCGAAGTCATTACTTTTACAACTTATTTTTCTCCATTTGTTTAGACAGTTATGCTCAGTGGTGCTTTTTTTAATGTATTATCTCTTAGAGTTGTATTTGATTTAGACACTACTGGCTTCATGTGGCTACTTAAATCTAAATTTGACACTATTTGAAATTCATTCCTTTAGTTATACTAGCCACATTTTAAGTACCAAACAGCCACCTGTAGCCAGTGGTTGCCATGTTGCACATATGGGACATTTTCAACATTGCAGGTAGTTCTGTTGGACAGTGCCCCCTACAATGTTCTTTAAATCTTTAGTTTTTAATTTGTATCTGCCATAAATACAGGTAGACATTGTAAAAAAAAAATAATAATAATAAAAAATTGGCAAAGAATATAAAATTTTTATTTATAAATTTATAATTATAAAATATTTATAATACAGTTAATAATTATAAAATAATAATATATAGTATATTATAGACATATACTATATAATCATTATAAATTTCTCTCTTGGCAGATTATTTACAGCTGAATTTTTGCAGTGTCCCATGTGTATCACACAGGATAGTAGGTGCATTGGTAATGATTCTGATACACTACTTGGATTATTTTTACCTTCTGTGTATTTATTATCCATTTACGTTAATTTGTTAATTTAATTGGACCAGGTGTGGTGATATATAAACTCAGTGCTCAGGAAGCTAAGGCAAGAGGATCATTATTTAGCCCAGACTGGGCTGTCTAAGGAATTTGAGTTTGAGATCAGCTTGGACACATAGTGAGACCGTGTCTCCATATCATTCTTCACCCCATACACATACACAAAGAACCATTAGATTAGAATGTAAATAGGGTCATCGTTGACCTTAGCCCATGATCTTACATCTAGAGAGGATAGTTATTTTATCACTAACATGATTAAAAGAAAATCTCTCTTACATAGAAAATCACCGGAGATCAAGGAACTATCTTATCAATATATACAAGCAAGCTAAATAGAAAATCAAAAATCTTTTAAGTATAATTAAATATTGGCAGAATTTTGGCTAAGGGAATTTTTCTGTCTATGAAATAGTATCTTCAAACACAACTGTTGTTTAATAGCACTGGGACCAAGTATGACGGCAATACTAGCAAATCACTGAGAGTGATGCCAACCTGTATATAGAGCTACAGGACGGCCAGGGCTGCGTAGTAAGGTCTTGTTTCAAAAAACAAACAAAAATCCATTGTCTTGAGGGCTGGAGAGATGGCTTAGTGGTTAAAAGCACTGACTGCTCCTGGAGAGGACCTAGATTCGGTTCCCAGCACTCACGTGGTAGTTCACAACTGTCTAACTGCATTTCCAGGGGATCTGATGCCTTCTTCTGGCCTCCTCTGCACCAGGCACACGTGTGGTATATAAACATACGTGCAGGCAAACATGCATATATGTACAATAAAAATGAAAACTACATTTTAAAAAACATACTTGGGAGCTTGGTGGTGGTGCATGCCTTTAATGCCATCACTTGGAAGGCAGAGACAGCCAGATCTCAGTGAGTTCAAGGCCAGCCTGGTCTACAAAGCAAGTTCCAGGACAGCCAGAACTGTTACACAGAGAAACCTTGTTTAAAAAAAAATAAAAATAAAGCATACTTGAGATTGTGAAACCTGAAGACCTTCAGAATGTCAATTCAAGTTTGGGGAGACTTGGCTCCCAAGTTTTCTCTCAGGCCGTGTCCATTATACCTGGTTTGACCTTTGGCAGGTCAGCTGGGAAAGCACAAAATTCTTTAGGATGGACCCTTAGCCCATTCACCTGAAGTGTACCACTCTGTTAGGTATCATGCTTCTCTCTACTGAACATTTATAAGATATCCTTTACCATGCCTTTTAAAGTGGTCTACTTACTAAGTCATATGTAATGATTCAAGGTCATATTTAGCTATTCTAAACTGGAAATGGACAGAATAATTCTATGTGGCTGTTTTGTTTTTTTAGACAGGGTCTCATATGCCCAGGCTGGGGCTGTACTTGCTGTCTCACCAAAGCTGGCTTTGAACATCTTTCCATTTTCATCTCCCAGATTTATACCACCATGCCTAGCTTTAAATTTTTGTTTTTTAAATACATGTTGTAAATACATTAGAAAATAAAAATTTACCTTTTCTAGTTTTGAATTTATGTAACTTTTCAATGTTTTTTTCTTTTTGAGTTTGCTACAAACTCAGCAGTGTAGGGATTGCCTTCTTAAAACTGAGAAATTAATGCCAACCCAAGAGTCTCCAAACTTGGTCCCATTGAGACTACATCTGGTTTCTCTTTAGGGACATAGTACCCTTGGTTTCTGTTAAGATTATTTTTAGAACTGAGGCCAATAAGAACTCTTTTGAAGGTCTTTGGCTTTCAGGGTGACATCTTTGAATCCATGGGCAGGAAGAAGAGATTGAGGCTGTGCTGGTCCTCTTCTAGACTGCTGAAGTGCCGCTCATTTTACAAAGTAAACTCAAGAGTGCAGTGCTCAATCAGTGTCCTAGTTACTCTTCTTACTCATTGTGACCAAATACCAGACAAGAAACTACTTCAGGGAGGAAGAAGTTGCCCTGGCTTACAGTTAGAGGGTACGCAGTCCATCATGGTGACGAGATTGGGAGACAGCTGGTCAAGGCCTGCTCCTAGTGACCTACGTCTTCCAGTAAAGCTCCACCTCCTGAAGGCTCCATAGCCTTCCTAAAACAGTGTCAGCCAGCTGGGGACCGAGTGTTCAAATATATTTTATATTCAAACCACAGTGTCCGAGGTCATGTGACTGGCTAGTCAGAATAGAGCTAGGATTCAGAGTGGTGTTAGAACTCCAGTTCATATTTCCCCAGAATCCACGGAGACAGGATGACCTCTGCTTCCAGGTGGCAGTGAGAAAGGCCCCAGGATTAATATTTGGGTAATACCACAGAGTATTCAGGATTCACAGAGGTCCATATATCTGGTCGCTTTTTCTATCTTTGCCTTTATCTGCATGCTGCTTAAAAAGCAATCTATACAGAGGGCTGTGTATGGTGGCACAAGCATGTGATTCTAGTACTCATGAGGCAGACACAGAAGTACAAGTTTAAGGCTAGCCTGGTGAACTTACTCTGTTCTAGGCTAGATTACTGGAATCGATCGACATAATAAGACCCTGTAGGGAGTAAGGTTTTTCTTCCTGCTGCTGGTTTTGTCCCGCCACCGCACCAGCCCCAATTAATGCACAGAGACTCTGTATTAGATATAATGCTGTTAGCCAGGTACTTGTTTCTTATTGGCTAGCTTTGTCTTAAGTATTAACCCATTTTTGTTGATCTATGTATTTCCATGTGGTCTCATCTTACTGGGGAGTGGGGCAGGTGTCTGGTCTCCCCAGTCTCTCCATCTTGACTCTTCCTTAGTACTTCCTCTTTCCTCCTTGTCTCCTAGTCCCGCCTATCTTGCTTTCCTATTGGCCAACAGTGCTTAATTCATTAAACCAGTATGAGAAACATATATACAGAATGACATCTCCCATCAAGACCCTACCTCAGAAACATTTCACCCCCTCCTCCTGCAATAAATTTATGCAGTAAATTGCCCTATTAGGAATATGACAGATGTGTGTCCTGAAGGAAATAATTCAATTCTCAATGAATTTCTTTCATGCCAGCTTTGTTTGTTTGTTTGTTTGTTAAAAAGCATGAGCAGAACTAATCCGAAGGTTCTGTGGCACCCACCCACCTGCATTATAGGTTAAGCACCGTGGAGCAGAATAGCTGTATATTGAGCCTGACAGTGATTCTGATGACTATGCTGGGGATGTGGCTTGGGTTGGATGTTGAAGGCCTGAGTTCAGAGTATTCTTTTTCCTTTTCTATTTTATTGTAAACTTTTAAACATGTGGAGAAGCTGAAAGGACAGTCTAGGAGGTCCAAAAGGCCTCGTGTGCCACCTGCTGCACCGTCTGGCACTCTCCACCTTTCTAACCAGCATGCTTTGTTTGCCTCTATCTTGTATTAGAGTTTTTGCTTTTTTTATTTACTTGCTTCTTTGTGATGCTGAAGGTTGAACTCAGGGCTTCAGGAATGCTTGACAAGTACTTTCACTGAACTAACTTCCCAGGCCCTACCCTGGAAGTTGTTTTTGTTTTTAATGTTTTACATGTGTTTGTTTGCTTCTCTGTATGTGTACAGTGTGCATACAGAGCTCGAAGAATCCAGAAGAGGGTGTTATATTTTCTGGAGCTAGAGTTATAAACAGTTGTGAGCGTACACACACACACACACACACACACACACACACACACACACACACACACACCCGTGCAAGCATAGCAAGTGTCTCTGAATGCTGAACTGTCTCCCCTGCTCTGGAGTCACTTCGCAACCATTCTTTTTGTATACCATGTGGCTGTACCACCACTCCCTGAGCTCTCAAGCCATTCTTGAGAGAAAAAAATGGTTGATCTCTTTGGCTAATAATAATAGAGCTTTTAAAAAGGTTTTTAACTGCTGGGCAGTTATAGTACATGCCTTTAATCCCAGAGCTCAAAAGGCAGAAGCTGGCAGATCTCTATGAGTTTGAGGCTGACCTGGTCTACAGAGCAAGTTCCAGGACAGAGCTACACGGAGAAACCCTGTTGGGTGGTGGTTGTACACACCTTTGATCCCAGCACTCGGGAGGCACAGGCAAATGGTCAGCTTGCTTCCAGCCAGGGCTACACAGAGAAATCCTGTCTTGAAAAAGAAAATGAAAACAAAATTTTTAAAATTATAATTTATTAATTATATAATTATGCATCAAATTTTGTGCTAAATATTTTACATTTGATGCTAACAAATAAATAATATTATGATATAGGTGCTAGCATTATATCCCACTTTATAGAGTAAGAAAGAAACTAAGGCTCTGGGGTTGAGTAACTTGCCTGAGGTTCTATAACTAGGAAATAAGCAGTTTGGATTCCAGTGCAAGGTGACCTGAGCCCAGCCCGGTGACCCTGTCTTCTGTTGTGTGCTGCTGTCTATCCAGGCCTGTTGCTGGTTATGGCTCAGAAGAGTTCTTGCCCATTGCATAGCACCTACCTCTTGTCATATTTACCTGTGTGCAGCAAGGTTTGTTTGTCTGCTCATAGTTCACAAGCAGTAAACAGCGTCTGTTTGAAGGACAATAAAGGAGCAATGAGTGGGGTGGTGTGGTGATGGGAGAATGGGGGAACGAGGCTTTGAAGTATTTGGGCTCTTCTGAACTCACCTGCCTCTGTTCTTGCTGTCTTTTTATAATTTCCCATCTTCTAAGTTGTTTTTTACTGAAGAAGTCAGGGTATGATTCCTCCCCACACACACACCAGGTCCCTAACAGCAGTAGCAGTGTTTTAAGTGTTAATCTGTTAATCACCAGAGGCAGAGCCATAGATTGCCTGGTGTCTTTTTTTTTTTTTTTTTTTTTTTTTTTTTGTGCTTGTGCCATTTCTTAAGAGAAAAGGCAATTAACTATCCGGTCTCGGTTTGGAACCCTACCCTTATCCTGAAGTCACCTAAGGTAGTGTGCATCTGTACATGCCAACAGTGTCCTGGCCTTGTGTGACTTTCATATGTGGGTGTGGAGGCTCAGTGCTTGTTTCCGAGGCAACCCTTGAAAGGACATCAGCTCGGACATCATGAGTCTTTCTATTTCCTCCTTTATCTCCCTTTATCTGTTTCTCCTTTACACTTCATCCACGTGTCTTCTGTTTTTTCTTGCTCAACTTGGAATGTGAATTGAGTTAGAGACCAGCTCTAACAGTAGATTAGGAGCAAGGCTGGGGTGACCCTCAGAGTGAGGGTCATGCCTTTACTTGATTTGAGTCCAAATGCTTTTTGAGATCCATTGTCTTAGTTTCATCTGTGCTGCTGTGATGAGATGCCCTGACAAGCAGTGGAAGGAAGGGTTATGATAGCTCACAGTTCTGGGCTATGGTCCACTATTGTAGGGAACTTCAAACAGCTAGTCACAGCACACCCACAGTGCATACATGCATGCCTGTGTTCAGCTCACCTTTTTCTCTTTAGACAGACTAACACCCAAACCCAAGGGGTTGTGTCACTCTCATTTAGGCTGGGTTTCCTGTTTTCAGTTTAATCAGGTAATCCCCCACAGATATGCTCCTAGGCAACCCAGTCTAGACAGTTCCCCACTGAGCCTCCTTCCTCAGTTGATTTTAGAATGTGTCTAGTTGACAATTAAAACTACCACACATATATACTTGAGACTCAGGGGTCAACTGGGTCACTTAGGAATTAGTTGATGGTGAAGAAAGGAAAGTCTAGGGATCTAGTTCTAATTGTTCCATTTCTGACAAATAACCTCAAGATAAGTTTACCTCTATATTCTGTAAAATGACTAGGTTTTGTTGTTTTTTATTTAGTTTTAATGTGTTATGAGTGTGAGTGTGTAGTATTTTAGTCTTCATCATTAAGATCAATGTAACTTGATTAGAGAAGATGAGGTAAATTGTTATGAAGATAGATTAGATTCCCATCCTTAAGTTCAGTGAAAAGAGAGGACCGCACTGGCTGCTTTCTAGTACAAGAGGTCTTAACTATAGTCTCTTCTGTCACTTCATTTCTGTATCACCTTTAAATGAAGAATTGGTGTTAGAAGGATGAGGGTAAAAGCTGAAAATGGGATAAGAGTATCACAGAGGCCTGGCCCAACACAGGGACAAATGTGAAATCAGAAGCTAGGTCTTTGGGTCGTTAGGTGAAATACTCCTGTCCATCCCAGTAACTGCTTCAATGTCTTTGTGATGTGGTTTTCATTTGTATTCATTTATTTACTTAGTACCTCAACATGCTAAGGACTTGTGAGGGCTACAATGAAATCATCTTCCCACACTGTGCCTGTGACTCCCGGAGGAAGGGGCATGTTATCACAGCCATCAGCATCACGCACTTTAAACTTCATGCCTGCACTGAGGAAGGGCAACTGGAGGTAAGATTTTTTCCTGGGGCTGGGCCAGGAGCTCTGTCAGAGGGCATTTTGATACTTAATTCTGTGTTTTAATTCCTCTTTGTAAAGCAAATGAAATACACAAATCCACACTGATCCTTATTTTACTGACTCCTTACACCAAATTACTCATTTTGATTATGGTGTGGTGTGTGTGTGTGGTGTGTACAAGTGCACGCACATGCACACAGAAGTGCCTATGCCATGGTGCATGTGTGAAGGGTATAGGACAATTTTGTGGAATCATTTTCTCTTCTTCCACCTTTGTTGGGTTCTGGGGCTCAAACTCAGGTCAACTTGCCCAGCAAGCACTTACCTACTGGGCCACCTCACCAGCCTCAGATTCTCTTATCACAGCCTTTGCCTGAGACACTAGTATTTCTCCATCAGAATCCCTTGGTAGACCTTACTCTGATGTTCTTGGCTGTCCAGAACCAGGTAATAGCATTTGAATGGGATGAGATGCAGCGATGGGACACAGATGAAGAAGGAATGGCCTTCTGTTTTGAATATGCGCGAGGAGAGAAGAAACCTCGATGGGTTAAAATCTTCACACCATATGTGAGTGGGAGATGGGAGGCATGGGGGAAATAGCTGGGGCTTTTGAAGTAAATCCTAGTGGGAACTGAAGGAAAATTTGCATGAATCTGGGGCTCTAGGAACAATGACGTTATGATCTCGGAGAACTCTTTCTCCATTGTCTTGCCATAGTTGGTGTTTGTTGCTCTTGTTTGTTTGTTTGTTTATGACAAGGTCTTACTATATAGCCATGGCTGGCCTGGAACTTGCTCGTTTAGCCTTTGAACTCAAAGAGATCCACCTGCTTCTGCCTTCCGAGTGCTGGGATTAAAGATGAATACCACCGTACCCTTGATTGATCCGTAGTATTTCTATAGCCAGCCTGAACTCATGCTTTTATTCCTTTGTTGATAACCATAAGATCAAAAAGACCAGTTTGACATTTTGTCTAGCTGTGATTGTGAAATTTGCATTCTGTATGTCATAGTCAACACTAGGAGGAGCTAGAGAACAATAGATTGCCAGGTCTGAGTTTATGGTTCCCAGCAGGATTTTTTTTTCTGTCCTGGGTGGGTTTGGAAGGTGGGATGATAGCTCTGAAGTTCAAAGGTGTGGTCTTGTGTCTGGTCTTAGGAGTCAGTGAGTATTGCTGCCTTTATCTTTTTTTTTTTTTTCCAGTTCAATTACATGCATGAGTGCTTTGAGAGGGTGTTCTGCGAGCTCAAGTGGAGAAAAGAGGTAATTCTAAAGAATTCTTGAATTAATTTCATCTTTTTGTTTAAAATTTATAGGCCCATGACCAAATACTGGGACCCTCACCTCCATTTCTGTCTTTCTAGGAATATTAGTTAGAGACTGATTATCCCATGTGAGCCAGGACATTCTCACAGCGAGGCTGGCCTCTGGATGGTGAATGGGCTATGCAAAAAAGCCCTGCTACTTCCCTTGTGTAGAGGGTGGACACTGGCTGCAGGCTCTCCCATCTCTCATGACTTCATGGACCCTCTTCTGCCTGTTTGATTTTTGTTGTTGTTGTTGTTGTTGTTTTAATCAAATAACCCACCATGCTGTTCCTGACCCAGGAGAGCACCTGCCCTGAGTTTTAGCCATCGGTCTGGATAAGTCTCATTAGAGTCTTTCTTCACTAACCAAGGACATATTGGGGGAGATTTGTTGCTACTGTTGTTTATAGGCATCAGTACTGGAGCAGAATTTAGAAGACTGTCTAAATACCTAGCTCCTTATTCTCAAAGAATCAGGAGATGAAGAGGTTCAGTCAGTCACATGGAAGTTGATGTTCTTGCTATAGTAGAAAGAACACTGGGCTCTGGAAGTCATCTGGGATTTCTTCTGCTTCTTTTGTCAGTAATTTTGGGCAAAACGATATCCTTAGGTCTGAAGTCTTGTAAAAAACAGGAAGACTGATCCAGGTGGTAATAGTCAGGGTCCTCCATGCTCAAGGGGCTGTGGATCTGGATGGTAAGCCGGATTCAGTTGTCAGCCAGGCTTGCAGCTCCAGTTCTGTTTGAAGGTTGTCTCCAGATCGGAGGCCACACTGCTCCTAAGTAACTCTTCTTTTTTTTCCCTTTCAGAATATTTTCCAGATGACGAGGTCACAGCAGAGGGATGTGGCCACCTAGCCTTTCCTCATCCCTTCCCTTCTCCTTGCCCTCATCCTCTTAGTCCTTTTGTCAGACAGTAACCATTAACACAAAAGAAGTAAAAAAAAGAAAAAAAAAGTCAATATATCCCAAAGTCCCAAGCTAAATATTATTACTAACTCCTTGTGAGTTTCGCACCTCTGGAACTAAGCTGGTAGAGAACAGCAGGTTGGTAGTGCCAGACGTCCACTGAGATCAGGGAGGAACAAGCCCAACCAACTTGCCAAAGGCATCTTTGTCGTTTTCCCTGGGCCTCACACCAACAGACTCTCCTTGTACTATATTTTTAAAACTGGAACTATGAACTCCATCCATTTGCACTGTTCAAGCATATATATGTATGTATGTATGTAAAAATTATATATACACAAATTAGCTGCACGTATATACATATATATATTTCTTTTTAAATTTCATATTGATGGCAGTACCTTTTTTAGCTTGTGTTTTTACACACCTTTCACTGAATTCATGACCTCTCTCTTGCTCTCTTTATTTTGAAACAAACTTTAAAAAGGAAAAAAAAAAATTACAGGGAAAATACCTCTCCTCATGAAGGACTCGAAAAGTTTACAACCTGCTTGGGTTTTCCCCCTTTTTTGTATCGAGTACAGTTTCTGGCAATTGGTTTGCCATAGAGTCTGAGGAGCAAGGAGTGTGGTAGTGTCCTTATCTTGAAGAGGGTGCTGAGGAGGAGAAAGGCTGTGTCTCAAGAGCAATGAGACTGCAGGTCTACAGGGAGTCTAAAAGACCTATGGTCTCAATTCCAAGTCGCTTTCCTGGTCCGTCGTTCCCACTTATGACTTACTAGTTCATTCTGCATCTTCTTCCTGTTTCTTTAGGGTCTTTTATATGCTTCCTTTCAACTGGCCCACAACTGAGTTGAGGGTAGTCTCAGGAAGTTGTTACCATAGGAAACTTTTCTTCTGTGACACAGATAGTATTTGGGACTAAGAGAAAGCCTAACATCTGAGGCACAACAGTTGGACATCTGTAGGAAAGGAAGAAGCAATGCCTCCTCCATTCCTGTCCAGGAACCAATATGTTTTATGTCCTCCATGGCTTCCTTAAACAGTTGTATGGGGAGGGAGTGGCTTGGGAAAACTTAGAGTCTGGGTCTCTGTCAACCAAATCATAGCCCTATTCATGCCAGCTAAGGGCCCAGGAAGAAGTGGATGTATGTTTGATTTTGGTTGATCTCCACCTGTTACTTCAAAGGGGACTGAAGAGAAATCTCTCAAAGAGTTCTTTGTCTGGGGTTGGGGCTGGGGCTGGACCTCAGTTGATAGAATGCTTGCCTAGCAGGCATAAAGTCCTAGGTTCTATTCCCAGCACCACATAAACCTGGGTGTGGTAGTGCACACCTGTAATCTCAGCACTTAGGAGGGGAGAGGGGCAGTGTCAGAAGTTCAAGCCCATCCTCTGCTACTACAGGAGACCCTGTCTCAGAAGTCAAAAAGATTCTTGTCTGCCCTTGTGTTTAGATTTCTAGGACCTAAGAGATACAGCTGGGGCACAGGCCAGGGCTGGCACTAGGGTAATATTTTTAGACTTTGAGTTCCTGCTTCCCTACTTTACCTTTCAAATAGAAGCCTCTATAGGCTGGCATCCTTGGCTTTATGTAGCTGGAGGGCAACTGGAATTGGGTGTATTTGGCAGTGCTGCATTTGGTTTAAAGTTTTCATACTGGTTTTGCAGATCACGATGAGACCACTTTTCTGTATTATTCTGGCAGCCTCTTGTCCCAGGAAGGACAGCCTGTTCCTTCCCTCTTCAAATCTGTGGAATCACAAAGTATATAAGAATTGTGAGTGTTTAAAGTTGAAGAGAGCAATACTTGATTTGAAGGCTTTAATCCAAGACCAAACTCCTCCTTCTGGCTTTAATAATGAGTCTGAGTACCTTAAAAGAAAATGCATTGATTTCCACTCCAAGATGTTTTGGAGGCCATCTTTATTCACACTGTTAAAAAAAAAAAAAATAGCAACAGTGTGCTCCTGTTCCCTCAGTGGGAAAGGCATGAAGGAGTCTACTGGACAGGTAGAGTAGACTCCAGGATAGAGACAGGGCTTTTTGGAGGTCCCACAGAATGAGCCCCAAAGCTTTTAGCCTGATAACAGAATCTGTGTAGCGGCAGCCTACTTGAAGTAGTCTCAGTTGCAGCAATGAAGTGGGAAGGGGGAGGCCCAGAAGGCTCACAGTGGGACTCGAGTCATGGGGGCAGAGGTCACTGTGGCAAGAGGCCCAAGGATCAAGTCCCTTTGCATGAAGCAGTGTTAGATGTAACTCTGTTCCATCCCCCCATTTCCCTTACACTTCCTTAGTCCTGGCTTCTTTCTGCCCAGGGTGGCATCTACCCAGTCTTCTTTTCTTTTGCAGTTTGTTTCTGAGAAAGGGAATCACACTCCCTAACTTCACCCCAGCAGGATCTTCCTCGCCTCCCATTGGCTCCACCATGTTGAGTTTCTGAGACAAAAATTCAAGAGATTTTTATGGACCCTGAGAACCCTAGCCCTGTAGGAAGCTTTGCTTGGGTAGTGCTTTGAGCTTGCTGCTCTTTGTATTTTTATCCTGGTCTCCATTTTTCTGCCCTCCCCATGCTGAAGCCTAAGCTCACCACAGCTACAGATATATTAGTGCTCGGGGCAGCTCTGAGCCTGGACAGAGCTCTCAGGGAGGGACAAGACAAATATTCCAGCCCAGTTAGTTTTATTCTTAGTTACCTGGACCAGTAGCTTTGAGTTATCCCCTTTTATAGCTCCAAATCCAATGCTTGGAGCAGCGAAATAGGGCACCGATAAGAGGAGACACCTCTCTCATCTCAGAAATTCCAGCTTAAGGGCCAGCTCCTAGAAAGCAGTTTTCTTAAAGGGACATGAAGTCTCCAGGACTGGAGGGTCTCCCTGCTCTCCTGTCCGTTATGCTGTCTGGGGGAATGGCCTCAGCACACTGCTGCTCCCTCGCCAGTTTTAAGGGTTACTTTAACTTCTTTTTGTATGAGGGAGAGTGTGGCCTAGTGCTCAGATCTAGTGAGAGGGAGAATGCCTCTTTAGCCCTCCACTTTGGGTTCCTCTTGCTCTAACCCTGAGTGCATCTGCCAGGCGTCCTTTACCTAGACAGCAGCAGCTCCTCAGCAGTAACTGAGGGTATACAGAAAGCGGACTCTGGGGAGGAACAGGACTGAAGAGGGCCTGATGCTGGTAGGAGCACTTGGCTAGCTGCTAACATGGGTGCCAACTTGGTATCATGCCCCCCTTTAAGCCAGTAAGCTGGGCTTCAGTTTCTCCCAGGCCGTGCATCCTTTAATTTATTTGAGAGAAACTCTAATTGTATTCTCACTGCAGTATCTTGTATTTTTATTTGTGATCTATGAAATGTGAAGAGAAAATGCAGAGACCACACTGGGTCCAGTGTTCTCCAGCCCCTGCTCTAGAGCTAACCACTCTAAGATTGTCTGGTAATGTCACTTAGTGTAATTAATTGTAACATATTCTTTTAAATAAATTGATTTATTGATGAAACAATTCTTTGGTTTCCTAGACTACAAATCCTTTGGGGTTATGTGGAAAGAACTAAAGAGGGGCCTTTGAGAGTTCAGTTGGAATGGCTACTCTGAAAATGATAGGCAACATCTGACTGGGTTTTCCAGGTAACCAGTGAGTCAGGGAATGGAGGTAGGAAGAAGCAGTTCCTTTCCCAGTGGCTCCCTCAGCAATTCCATGTATTTCCTCAGCTCTGTTGAGCCCTCCTGTACAGACTCTTGTGACTGTCACAGACTCCTTCACCAACCAAGCACAGATAAAGCCAGGCAGAGCCTCAGGGACATGGTATTATGTTCGTCCATCCACCCCCCCCCCACCTTCCCCAGCATGTGTAGATCTCATTTACAAGTAATAAGGAGACTTTTTATATGGCCCCTAGCAGATGCCTAGGCAGCGCCAGGTCTGGGGTGGCATTCAGTCTCTGATCATGTGCCTGAGAATTTCAGTGTGGTCCCGCTGTCCTTGCTTTTACATAGAGCGCCCAGGTACCAGGCCACATTCTACTCAGAAGAGAGCTGCTCCCCAAAAAGTTCAGCATTTGTAGTAGGTCAGACATTTCTGTTGTTCTGTGACTTCATTTCTTGGTATTTTCATAGTCCTTTACCACATGCTTTTGTTACCTAGTTGACCCTAAGAGCAAGGACCACCAGGTTTGATATTTGGATTTGAGGAGAGATGATATTCACAAGCTCAGTCACCCAGTCACCAGCATCCAGTATTTGGAGTCTGACAAATACTGTACCCCTAGACATTAAAAAATATTTTTTTCTTCAATAACAAAAGATCCATAGAAAGGTAGAATTATAGAATTAGATTTACAGAGGTTAAAGTCAACACCATTAAGAAGTACCATGTGTATGGGGCATTGTGTGAGACACTGTGGTAGACATAGGCATACTGACAGCCTTACAGAAGAGACAGGACAGCCTCATGATACACAGAAGGTTTCAGTGCATTGGGGACTACAAGAAAAGGTCCAGACATGGTGGTGTATGTCTATAACCTCAAGACTCAGGAGACAGGAGGATTAGGAGTGCAAGACCAGCCTCAGCTACACAGCAAGTTCATGGCCAGCCTGGGCCACATAAGACCCTGTCTCAAGATCAAGGAAAGGGATAAAATGGTTCAGTAAAGATACTTGCTGTCAAACCTAACAACCTGAGTTAGAGCCCTGTGTTCCACATGGTGGAAAGAGAAAACTGGTTTCCATGGGTTGTTCTCTGCACACACACGAGCTATTCTCATGCACATACAGCAGTAAATGCAATAAATATAAGACACTGATGAAGGCATGAAAGAAATCTTAAAGTGGTATTTTAATGTGAATTTTGTAACATGAGTAGGATTTCATCAAGCAGGTCTCAAACAGTACTGGCTTGTTACGTACTGTAGCAACGGAGAACAAAGAAACCAGAGGTAAGAAAGACCAGACTGTCCAAAGCACAGTGAGGATATTGTTTCAACGGAATATAGGGTATGTATAAGGATGAAGTAGGAGGTAAGTGTTCCCCAGCGACCATTTGTGTGTGTGTGTGTGTGTGTGTGTGTGTGTGTGTTCACATGTACAAGTCAGAGTACAAATGTGGGAGGTCAGAGGACAACTTGTGGCAGTTGATTCTCCATTCACTAAATGGATGACGGATCATTAGGCTGGTATAAGTATTCTATTAAGAAGCAGACACAAAGCTGGGTGCATGCTTTTAATTCCAGCACTCGGAGGCAGAGGCAGGTGGATCTCTGTGAGTTCCAGGACATCCATAGCTGTTACACAGAGAAACTCTATCTCGACTCCCACCCCATCCCCCCCAAAAAAAGAAGCAGACACAATGATAAAGGGAAAATGGTAGAAATCTTTCTCTTTCATGATGAAATAACACTTTATTTACATGAGTAGAGTAAGAGGCTCCCATGCTCTGTGTGACTAGAGGAGCAAGAGTTGAGCTGGGCCAGGCAGGTGCACCTGCAGTGCCGGACGTAAAGAAAGAGGGAGTAGGCATTCAAGAGCATCTTTGACTACCTAGCAAGTGCAAGACCAGCCTGAACTACTTGAGATCCTACCTAGAGAGATGCCTGTTGAGAGCACTGGCTACTCTTCCAGAGGACCCAGGTTCAGTTCCCAGTACCCATATGGAGGCTCATAACTATCTTAATTCCAGTTCCAGGGGAACTCATAAGGGCACTCATTAGAATCTTAAAGCCAGGCATGGTGGCACATGCCTCTAATCCCAGCATGGAGGGAAACAGGTCGATTCCCTAAGTTTGAGGCTATCCTGGTCTACATAGCAAGCTCTAGGCCAGCCAAGGCTACACAAACTCCGTCTTGGAAAACCAAAAATAATCAAATTATTTAAAAGAACAACAGAAAGCCCCAAGTCTTTGAAGGAACAGTATTTCAGTGTTGGACTATTAGATTTAGGTACAGGTGGGAAATCCGATATTGATATCTAGGAGTCATTTGGTTAGAGATCTTTTCTATGCGTGTGTATGTATATCGTGTGGGTTACAGGCAGTTGTGAGTCATTCTGTGAGTGCTGGGACCCAGAACCAGGCGCTCTGGTCCTTTGCAAGAACAATAAGTACTATTAACCACCAAGCGGTCATTTCTTCACTGTTTACTCATCATCAGCTTCTGGTGTCCAGGGCACCTGTTTAGTGCAGTAGGGCTGTAGCAGTGAACAAGGCCTATGAAAGTCACTCAACAAATGTTAGTGGAGTTGACTCTACCTGTGGGAAACAGGTTGTGTATGGACGAGCAGGTGGAGGGATGTGGAGACAAGGGGGCAGACTGAAGGCTTCTTTAGTGGGGCAGTGGGTAGGGACCGTGATGGAGGTAGTGGAGCCATCTAGACCTGAGAAACCCGGCTGGGGCTTTAGTGTTGGACTGACTAGAAGATGTGGAGGAAGCTGAGTAGTGGTGGCCCATGCCAATAGTCTCGGCACTTGAGGGGTTAAGGAGGGAAGGTTGTGAGTCTGAAAAAGTAGAAAGGTTGTAATCCAGACTGGGATATGAGTGGGTGTGTGTGGTAACGTTTACTAATAGGAAAACTAAGAGAAAAAGTAATACGAATTGAGTTCAGGAGAAGAGAGGGGGATACGTGTTAGGAACTCTGCATTGAGCAGCTCAGGGGATCTAGACAGCTGGATGGAAATCTCGCTTTTGGTAAGAGAGTTGACTCTGGAAGAAATAGACAGCAAATCCTGTGTGGTAGTACACACCTGTGATTCCAGAGCGTGGGAAGTGGAGCCAAGAGGAATAGGAGTTCATCCTTGACTACACATTGATTTGGAGACCATTCTAAGTTACATGTGACTCAGTGGGCCACCAAGATGACTCAGTGGTTAAGTTGCTTGCTGTCAAGCCTGATGACCTAATTCAACCCTCAGAGCCCACATGATAAAAAGAGAGAATCAACTCCCAGAAGTTGTCCTCTACCTACCACATGCCTTGGCACATGCTCGTGCATGTTGAATAATAAACACTTAAAAATAGAGGCTGAGCCTGGTGGTGGTGGTGTATGCCATTAACCCTAGCATTCTGGACGTAGAGGCAGGTGGATCTCTGAATTAGAGGTCAGCCTGGTCATCAGTGAGTTCCAGGGCAGCCAAAGCTACACAGAGAAACAATTTTTAAAGATAGAAGCTGAAAAGCAAAGCTTTTCTAAGAACCAGGGTACCAGATCAGACCTTCAGATTTTCATACTTAGAGAAGATAATGAAGCTTGGCCATGAAGGGAATTTTTGGGTCACAAATACTTGAAACTAAAGAAGTGAAAGGTCATGGCCTTTGAGTCAGCAGGGACCAGGTGGGGGCATCTCACATGCATGCATACCCTTCCCAGCTTTAAAATCATAGAAAGGGAAGAGAAGGATCCGGACTCATCCAGGGGTTTGCCCCTGCTGTGTCCTCTGCATCCTTAGTCGCCCTACGAGGATTTTTCCCTTAGTGCTGGGTTTTTGGTTCTAGTTTAAAGTACCTCTATCTGATCTGCTAATGTGTCACCTACATTCTTCTGCCTCAGAGGGTTCCAGAAGCACACAGAGAGCAGTCCCTGAGGTGCTGCCCCATCTGCCTACGAGCAGGTTGGTACCAGGGGGGAGGAGACAGTCACTCTGGGAGAGTCTCATGTCTGAAACTCACCTTTCATCTGGGTTCTGACCTACAAACTGTTGTAAACCTGAGATAGCTCTGAGCCTGCAGTGACCTGCCTGGATCCTCACTCTGAGGCCATGCAGTGGTTAATCTTCATGGTCAGCTTGACTAGATTTAAAAACCAACCTAGGAGAGCATGTACTGGTCATCAGCTGTTTGGTCACAAGAACCCTAAGGGTTACAGACTCTACCCCATTCTTGATCTCTGTCACAGTGAGATTTGCTTTAGTGTGTATGTGTGTGTGTGTCTGTCCATCTGCCTGTCTGTCCCAGGCTGACCTCAAAATTCCTGAGTCCTCTGCCTCAATCCTCCAAGTGCTGGAATGACACCCACCATGTGCTGCCTTGCTTGCCCTGTCTTCTTTTAAGCTATTAGCCACTGCTAAGAGAGGAGTGGGGAGAGGTGGAGGTTAGCTGTGAGGATTTACACATGGCTGTAGTTTCTCTTTTGCCCTTACGCTTCCCCTCCCCTGAACGCTTCCTTTCTTACTCCAGGGCATAACTGTATGGGGACAAGTTTGTAAGAGGAGCCTGGGGAGAAATGCTGCCCACCAGTAGGTGGGCCTGATCTGGGAGCCAGCTAACGGTGGGGGTGGGGTGGGGTGGGGTGCAGCGTGCCCTGCGGATGGAGCACTCCAGCAGCCTCTGATACTGAGGGTATCTTCACCTCAGGGAACACCAGGTGAGAGGACAGCAGCGTCTGGACAAATGTTCAGCTTCCATAGCGTCCTCTTCAGGCACTGAGACTCTGGGAAAAGGAGTTAACCTCTCCCCTGTCTGTCAATCGTACCCTGCCCACAGGGCCTTGGAGAATGAGGGATGGACATTGAGGGTCAGCACAGGACCATGAGCCTCACCAATGGTGGTGTTATAGCCAGCTCCTAGTATCCTCTCAAATACAGAACCCCGACCTCCAGAGGCATGGCGGGGTCCAGGGAGAGGTCTGCTGACCAGTGATTGCCCCTGTACTCGACTGCAGGTTCTTTCTCCTGTGCTGGACTCTGAAGAACATTCTAGAATCAAGCCCCAAAGGTGAATAGAATAGGATCCTGAAGTTATGAGCAAGGTTTGAACACAGCAAGGACTTGACCTTCCTGAAGGTTTTATCTCCCTAACCATAATCTCTTCCCCTCCTTTCCTTCCCTCCCTCCCCTCCCCCTTCCCATGTGAACACCCTACTCTCCGCCTTCCAAGACTCACATTTGGTGCTTTTAAACTTTTTTTCTTTATTTAGACAGAAAAGACCCACTCTTCAAAAGTAAAACTCAATAAATAAATAACTTGTAGAGAACTGTCAGAAGTGACTTACCCCTTCTCACCCTTTATCACCCCACCCCCCCACCCTTGTTCTTTCCCCTAAAACTTCTTCCTAAAGAAAATGATCAGGTAATAAACCCCTTTAGCCCTCCCCACACCCTTCCTCCCAAATACCCAATTACCCCCAAAACAAAGGGAGAAATCAAGAGAGAGGGAGGGGAAAAAAAAAATCCAAGGGTGACATTGTCTAAACTCCCAGAAAGAGATGGCAGCATCTGGCTGGTTGGGCTGGGTAATGCCCTAGTGGCCATGGTATTTACATGGAGGGGCCAGCAGAGACTGTAAACATTTTTAGGGGTTTGGGGAAGGTCTTTTCCTCATGAAAGGAGGGTCTCTGTGACTGACTGGCAGAGAGGCAGCCCCCAGGGCTCCCCCACACCCTCCTTTGAGGGGCCCTTGGGGAAGGCAGTGAGTTTCAGGGCTGGGAATCTGGGATTTGGAGATTGCCTACCTCTAGCTGAGGTTGGAGGGGAATGTGAGAGCCAGCTTCCCAGAAAGCCCCTACAGTAGGGGAGGCTGGGGTGAGGACTCAGGAGAGAGGATGCCTGGCTGCCCTCATGGGCCTGCACAGCTACTCCGGGCCCCCTGAGGGGAGGAAGTGCGGACGGACGGACGGTGTGTGCTGAGGCCCGACTTGGGAGCCTTAGCAGAAGGCAGATACCCCTGAACCTTAGAGCCTATTCCTTGCTTCCTCACAAAGGCCAAAAGGGCACTGGGGAGGGAATAGGCTCTTGGAGCCAGGGAAGCAAAACCATGGCCCTTCAGAGAGGCAAGGTGGTGGGAGTGAGCCAGGTCCTGGGCCCTTAGGGCCACGAAGCAGCTTTTGCCCCAGAGTCCAATCAAGGCCCAGGGCCGATGTGCAGAGAAGGCCAGGGCCAGTCAGGGAAGAGAGTGTCAAGTGCCCCTTTCTCTGGTGTCTCCAGACCTGTGGAGGAAGGAAATAGGGTGAAGCATAGGGAAGACAGCTAATACTGCTCAGGGTTCTGGAAAGGGCAGGGGGTGGCAGGGCGTGATGGCACCTATGATGGAACTGCCTGAGAAAGGCGGGCCATCAGAAAGGCCTTGTCCCAACAGAACCATTGCTCTCCTCCCCATTCCTCCAGCTGTGAGGACACGGAGGGGTAGAGGAATGGGGAAGGGGGGTGAGACAATATAGAAACTGAAGCTATTAGGAAGAAACAAGTCAAAAATTGACTGGAAGATAGTCAGAATGGTGGGGGGAGAAAGGCAAAGAAATGAGACGAACAGGCAGGCAGAGAGAACTAGGAGAAAAGACCGGGTGCATGGACAAGACAGACACCCGGAGAGAGTGGGCATCTGCAGAGCCTGGGGTGACCCACGAGGGCCTTTGGGATGGAGTCTTAAGGGTGACACCACTCCCAGCCCTTAGGTAGTGTTCTCATTTCTTTTTGGAAAGGAACAAAGGAAGCAAGAGAAAAATGCACAAACCACAAACCACAGTCACCAACCACTGTTGACCAAGCACATCCCGCGAGCTGCCCCAGCCCTGAGCCTGGGTTGGGGGGGGGTGCTTCCCTCCACAGTCCCTCCCCAGATAACAAACAATTGGCTTTAAAGACAACACGCTCGTTCCATGCAACTTACAGGGGCCCGGAGCAGGGGTCCGGGATGGGGGCTTCAGCCGACAATGGACACGGACCCTGGGCTGGGGCCCCCAGGGTTGGGGGAGTTAAGCAGCCAGGATTGGGGGGAAAGGGGAGAAACAGAAATGTGGGTATTGTTCTTGGGTTGTGATTTTTCAAGGTTTGGTCCAAAGGAGATTAAACAAATCAAAAGTAGCCAGTGCTCATAGGTCTGTGCACCAAATTTGGATGGCAGCCTCTCTGGGCTGGAGGGACCCTACTAGGTGCAATTCCTCCACTCAGCCAAGCCACGCCCACTCCCATCTGTACTGAGTTCTACCCGGAGTGCACTGCCCTGGGAAAGTCACCTGCAGCCTAGTTCAGGGCAACTGGCAACAGGACCAGCGTCTCCACAGGAAACAAGGTTTCAAAACCAAGAGGCTTTCCGACCTCCCAGCTCCCAAAACCTACTCCACTAATTTCATCCAACCCAAAGGAAAACCAGAAAGAGAAAGACACAGACACACGGACACTGACCAGACAAACAAGACCAGATACTGTGGGAAACTCTGGGAGCAGACACAGATATAAACTCTCTGGGGTGGTCTCTCTCCTCTGTGTGCGTGCGTGCGTGCGTGCGTGCGTGCGTGCGTGCATGTGCTGGCAGGAGACTCCAATGACCGAACGACAGCTGGGGGAGTGACCCAGATCCCCCTTCCATATGCCCAGCATCAGGGTGGGTTGGTGGTGGGAGGAAGGTAGAGGATTCACTTAGAGATCTGTCTGCAGTGTTGGAATCTGGGGATGAGGTCACAGGACAGAGCAGCACCCACCTGCAGCCCTTAGTAGGGCCTGTTTGCATCCTTAGGCCGCTTTAGCTGGACTTTGAGGCGCTTCATGCCAATCTGGAAACCATTCATAGCCTGGATGGCAGCCTGGGCACTGGCCGGATTGTCGAAACTCACAAAGCCTGAGGTGAGAAGGGCATAAGGCCCGGCCCGACCCCACGCCGCTGTCCTGCCGCAGGGCCAGGGCTGCTTGTTTGGTTTCCCAACACCACCCTACTTCTTCCGGGCATCTCTAATACCTAGAAACCTCCTGGCACACAGTAGGCATTCAGAAAGAATTCATTGATGATAGATTTAATGAGTGAATCCAGTTCAGCCATTCACAAACTAGGATGTGCTTTCCAGTGTTCTTTGAAAGGCGACCCCTTAGCCTGAGAGCTCTAAGAAACCTGCTTTTTTATTTTTTTGGAACCCTATCAGTGACTTTTGAAGCAAGGGTCTGAAGCAGGCTTCCAACTGAAACTTACATCCCTTTGAAATCTAGTGTCTCCAGACTACATGAAATGGTATTGGCTTGTGTGTGTGTGTATGTGTGTGTGTGTGTGTGTGTGTGATAGAACTTAGATCTCATGCCACCACACATGCTCAGATTTCTGAGCTATATCTCTAGCCCCCGAGGTTTTAAGGAGGAAGATGAAGCTGTGACCTTTTTACAAGAGATAGGCTTTGGTGGCAACACTGTATGGGATGTATGTCAGAGGTGTTCTTTTGTGGCCTTGTATATTCAGGCTTTCAAGTGCTGAGTTCATTGAGACCCTAAATGCCTCCAAATGTGACAAACTTTGTTCTAAGTTAGGGTTCAAACAAAAGTGTCCATAGTCTTTCTTTTGGGTCATGTTCTTACCAAAACATTTGCTCTGATTGGTGGCCCGGTCAACAAAGACTTTGGCTGAGATGACATGACCAAAGGGGACAAACATCTGAAGGATCTCTGAGTCCGTGAACTCCTGGGGCAGGTGGTAGATGAAGATGTTGCAGCCATCTGGGCCTGGGTGGCAGCAGAGATAGAAGGCAAAGCTCAGAGACTGGGAAATGCAGACTAGAGTGGTAGAGTGGGGGAAGCAGCTGTAGAGAGCAGGGCAGCGGCGGTCCAGGCCCCCAGCAGGGTGGGTCAGGCCTCCCCACTGCTTCGGCTCTCACACACAGGGCCAGAGCTGAGTTTGGCACAAAGCCATTGGGAGTCCCCGAACCCTGCAGGTTCGAAGCTATCAGGACCCTGCCCCAGGCTTGCACCTTCCCGTTGCTGCTGCTGCTGTTGCTGCTGCTGCTGCTGCTGTTGCTGAGGTGGTGGTGGGGGCTGCTGGGCGACCAGGGCTGGAGGCTGCGGGAATGCAGGTGCAACCAGGCTGTAGGCTGCAGGATAGGCTGCTGGGGTGGTGAAAACAGAAAAGGCTAATGATGGGGTTCCCCTGACTCCTCACAGCCAGCCTTGTCTGCCTCCCCAACCCAGGCCAGTGGAGTCCACAGAGCTGAGTGTGTCAGGGAGGGCCTTCCTCAGACTAAGTCCTGGGGATGCTCCCTCAAGCATCCATTCTCACAGGCACAGCTTGTCAGGAAGGCCTGAGGGTGTGGCTGGCAGAGAGTGCAGAAGGTATAGCTTTTAGATCTGTTTTCCTCGGGCCACCCCTCCACCTGGGCAGGGCCTGGGCGAGAGCCCCTTACCTGTATAGTGCTGCATTCCTGCATAGGCCTGCTGGAGAGGATCCACGGGGGCAGCAGGGCTCTGGGCTGAGGAGAATATCACAAGCCGTGAGTGGGTCTGGGTCACAATGGGAACCCCACCAGCACTTCTCTCAGCAGACAGAGCCTCATCTGGGGGTGGAGGGTGAGATGAGAAGGAAATGCATATGACAGGAAAGGGGAAAAGCCAGCCCAGTGTCCAGCAGACAGGTCTATGACTGACTTGCCACTATGGCCAAATCGCATCACCTCTCTAAGCCTCAGCCAGGAACCCAAAGAATGCCAGGTGGGGTAGCACACCGCTCTAATCCCACTACTGAGGAGGCAGAGGCAAGCAGAGCTATGCGAGTTCGAGACCAGCCTAATCTATCTACATAGTGGGTTCTGGGACTTGGTCACACAGAGACACCCTGTCTCAAAAGCACTAAAAAAAAAAAAGAAAAGAACCCGAGGAGCATTTCTGCCCAGGAAGAGCAAGAAAAAGCACCTTAAGCCCTGAGGTTGGAGAGGGAAGGTGTGTCATGGCTGCCAGCAATGGGAGTGGTGGCCTGGATGGCTGATGGAGCAAGGTGGGCAGGCAGAGAGCCCCACCTGGGTAAGGGTGAACCCCGTTGGGATACAGAGCATCAGGGGCAGGCTGCCCTGTGGGCTGGGTGGGCACCGGGCTATAGCCGTTGACGCCCAAGGCAGCAGGGATGGCAGAGACGGGCGTGGCAGCAATGGCAGGGGGGGTGCTGGTTCCTAGGAAGGAGAAAATGACAGCGGCAGAGCAGAGAGACAGGCGCACGGGGCAGAGCGGGGCACTGCTTGGACCCCACGGATCCCCCCGCCCCGCTCCCTGCCCAGCTAAGTTTGTCCCTAGCCCCACCTGCCTAGCATGGGCCATACCTGAGGATGGAGTGATGGGGGTGGCAATGAGGCCGTTGGCATTGATGGCAGCCATGTGCTGCATCTGCACGGCAGCCATGGTGGCCATAGGGCTGAGGTAGGCACTGTGAGCTGCTACCAGGGCTGCCTGCTGCTGCATCAGCTGTGGGATGGGGACAGGACAGTAGGGCCAGGCCTCCAGCACCTCCCTCCCAAGCCCTGCTTTGGTGATTGACGGGTGGGCCACAAAGGACACGGAGATGAACAAGATCTAGCGAGCACCGGGCGTGAGGGGCATGCTTACGGCCTGGGTGTAAGCGCTGTAGGCTCCAAACTGGAGGGCGATAGGGCTGAACATGCCCAGCTGGGTAGCCACCTGCTGCATTCGGCGGAGACCTCGCTCCTTCTCTGTGTCAGCAAACTTTACCACCAGGCTGGATGAGGCACCCTGGCCATGGGCCCACATGTCACAGAAGAGTTGACATCTGCTCCCTAGGGGCCTCAGAGCCTAGTCTCAGGCCGCTTTGGGAGCACAGCCATCACAGGGCCCAATCCAAATGGGAAAATCCTAATCCCACTATCTCCTTGCACTGGGATGTGTAAAAGGCTAGACAGACAGAATTGAGGAATGTGAAGTTAAATGCTCAAAGATGGACAGGCCTGTGGGGATGGAAAGGACATGCTGAGAGGTATCTGTGCTGGCAACCCATGGTGGATTAGCTGTAGGGGAATGTTAATCTGACAGCTGCCATGATTCTGGCCCCATACCGCCGGTCTCACGGAGTGCTCAGAGGATGCCACTTTTCACATTTCAACATTAGTCTGAGCCAAATCAAATTCAGATCGCCATACTTGCAATGACTGTCATAGTCCTAGACTCTCAAAGCTGAAGGGGCCCGGGTTCAGTTCTCTGTTCGATGTCAAGTCCTCTTCCTGTTCCATGCCTGTCCTGCTCTGCTAGAGACCCTTGGAGTTGTGGGAAGGCCCACCCACATCTTCTGGAAAGCAGCTAGTTAGTTAGGTTCCAGCTAGGAGCTCCAGTTCACATTCAACTGTCCTAACACTAACAGGGGCAGCGGTATCAGCTCAGCGTGTGCTGAGCAGGTGGGGCCTCTCAGCAAGGGTCCCAGGAAATGAAGCAGGAGCTATGGGAAGGCGAAGAACAGATGGGAGACAGAGAGGGCCGAGGAATGGAGGCGGCTGTAAGGGAATTTGAACTGAGATGAGGAATAGGTATAGGGTGTGATATTTGATTCATTGGTTCTTTTGCAAAAACTTTAAAAGAAAATAAATTAGAAGTTGTATCCTGAATGGAATCTTGCTCTATGCCACGGCCTGGCAGGTGGGCCAGTATGAAGACAGAGGAGGAGGGGAGTGGGGCTCACCGGCAGGGTCCGGCTGCTGTGGAGGGTGTTGATGGCTGCCTGGGCCTCAGCGTGAGTCTGGAACTTCACAAAAGCACAGCCTAGAGTGAATGGTTGGGGTGGAGGAGAACAGGGGTGAGTGCCCACTGCGAGGGCACCCTCTGGAGTCTGTGGGTGAAGGGAGGAGAGGGAGGGACTACCTTTGCTGGTACCATCTGGCCCCCGGAGCACAGTGCACTCATCTATGGTCCCAAATGGTTCAAACATCTTCCGGACGTCCTCATCTGTCTGCTGCTTTCCTAGCATCCCCACAAAGAGCTTCCGATCTTCTGGGGGAGGGGTGGGGCACAGGAAGAGATTAATGTTCAAGGGCCTCCTGACCCTCTCAGGCCTCCACCTTCCACTTGTACCTGTTGCTCCTGACACTACTTCCCCCAGCTCTAGGTGTTGGGACCGATAGTTGGGAATTGGGGCTCAGTCATGTGCAGGACCCTCAGTTCTGGAGAACTCCAACTCTACTTTGGCCTCAGTTTTGTCATCTCTACGAATGGGCTAGGTCTTGCCTCCTACCACCACACTCACCCATGCCTTAACCCCAACTCTAAATCGTTTTTCAGTATTAATAGACTTCCTTCCTTAAGAAAGGCTGCCTTTCATCTCTTTCAAGCCCTGGGCCTAGGGGTAGGAGGAAAGGGGCTAAATCTAAAATTGTAGAACCTACCTCCTCGACTCTCGCTGTCGGCTGGCTTGACCTGGATCGGCCTGTTCATCTATAGAAGAGAAAAGGAGGAAGCTGCCAGGACCTCCTCGGAATATCCAAGAGTCCTCCCCAGCTGAGATGACCAGAGATTGAAGGGAGCAAAGTTGCCTCTGCCCTCTAAATTGATGGAAAGGAAAAGGTAGGGCCAGTCTTGTCTAGAATTCAAACCTGAAAGGATTAAAGGTGTACGGGACAGGGGATGTGTCAGAAGATGTTCATGGGATGCAGCTCTGGGCTCATAGTGGCCTCAGAATGCCTGGGCCATCCATAGGTGTTGCTCACTTAGGTGAGAAATACCTGTCCATAGGACCCAGGTCTTAAGCCAGAGCTCAGAAGGGATTGATCAACCAGAGCTGCCTCCATTCTGCAAAGTAGGAGCAAACAGGCTATCCCATGGAGAAACCCCCAAGAAAGGCTGAGAGAGACCCCACAGAGGCCCAGAATTCCTTCTGACCACTGGAGGTGTGTCTGCCTCTCTTTCTGCTCCCCTACACCCCTTGACCCCAGGGGGAAGGCACTCGGGCAGCACAAAGGGAGCAGATGCCCAGTCTCCGTGGCAACGGGAGAATGCGCACCATGGCAACCGCCCACTCAGCCTGATTTATCCGTCCCCGTCGCCCTGGCGACCGTGGTGATGTCATCACTTCTGCTTCTCCACACACACACACACACACACACCCAGAGAAGGACTGGGGGGGGGTGGGAACAGGGTATGCTGGGGGTGGAGGATTGGGTGGGGGCTGGGAGGTGGGGGAGGGAGCCCAGGGAAGCTTCCTGGTCCTGGAGGGAGGTAAGTGGAGTGAGCCCTGCAGGGGCCATACTGTTCCTTCTCCTGCCTTCCTTCTCCAGAACCAATCCTTGGTATCTGAAGAGCTGAGAAGGCACTGAAGGAGCTAAGGCTATCGATGCTCCTTTGCAATCCTCCCTGGCTCAGAAGTCCTCCAGAGCTCTACCCTCTCCTCAACACCCACAGTGTAACCCTTTGTTCAGTCTCTACTGTGGGTAGAAAAATTCCTAGATCCATTCTCCATGTCTTGTTTGGTGAGTGGACTTGGGAAACACTCCCACAGGTTGATTTCCTCAACCAAAACAGCCAGCAAAGTGGATGCAGCCTTCAGTATTTGGCTCTGAACTTCTCTTGCTATTGAGGACTTTGACTGCTAGGGTCACACCCTGACTCCTCACTCATGTGATGGTGGGACCATCTTAATTCCAGAGAGTAATGCCTAAGATGAGGCATTCATTTACATGCTAAGAGTGAGAGGCTAAGAGAACTACTCTAAAGAAAGTCTTAACTTGGAGGAGACCTGGGTCCGACCGAGGAGCCCCGCCTCTCACTAGCTGTGTGCCACGGCTAAGTCATTTCTTTCCTCTGGGCTTCAACTTCCTCCTCTGTGAAACAAGAGGACAGACCAGGAGTCCTGTAGTCAGGCATCCTCAACTTGGGGACTCTAGCCTTGAGTGACTTGAATTAACATGGAGAAATAAAGACATGCAGCTATTGGCTGGACTCTGCCAGCCAGGTGTTCACAGCCATGGATCAAACCTAAGACTCTTCTCCAATGATGTTCCTGCCCTCGACTTCCCTCCCCCAAATCTCTGGGTCTATGAGCAGCTGCTGAGGGCGGAGGGGGGAGGTCACAGCCACATAAATCCTCCTGCCAATCTGCCTCCAGATTTACCTTCTAGCAATCTGGGATTATCCCATCTGAGACTCAATCTCCTAAGGAGTGTGTGTGTCTGTGCATACATGTGTGAATGTGTAAATGTGTGTGTGTGCAAGATGGAGTACTTGTGTAGGGGAGGTCTGTGGGCTAGAGGTTTATTGTCATTCACCTCCTCTTTTTCACTCTAGCCAAAGTGGGAAATTCTCTCTCAGGTCCCACAGCAGCTAGCCAGACACATCCACCCCTGAAGACCCTGGAGATGGTCAGAACCAGGGCACAGCATGGGGCATTCTTAGGATTGGCACTATGCCCTTCCCAACAAGTCTCTGGGGAAGTTGCTGTTCTCTCTCAGAGACTGAGAACCTGGGAGAGAAATGATGTCGTGCCTGCCCTGCACAATCTTCCAGCACAAAAATAGCATATCAATAAATACCCACAGCTGATGTACATTCTCAGACAGAGGCAGCACAGACCACAGTATGGACAGATGCCCCCAACACCCTCACAGTACCCAATGCCCATTTCCAGTCCCCCCCTCCTAGCCTGGCACTTCCTGTGGGAAGTGCAGCTTTGTTAACTTGCCTGGGCACACCTGCCCCCTCCCCTGAGTCCAGCTGTGTTGTGTTTACCTGGCAACCAGGCAGGTGCCTCTTCCCTAGCTACCACCCACTAAGTGATAAGCTCTCCCAAAGAAGGGGCTATTTACACTCCAGCCAGGGAGCTCTGATCTGCCTTCCCTAACAAGACCACTATAACTGTTAGGATCCCACCTCCAAAGAGAGCTAGCTCACTCTCCCTCAAAAATCTAATCCTCTTGAGGGTGTAGGTTGGGAGCCCCGTCGCTCCTGGCTCCACATTTCCTGGGGCCCCAGAACCCACCCTCTCTGCCTCAAGCTGATGGGAGTGCTCACATCTCCAGAGCAGAAGATTGATCCAGAACAGATGGGGAAGAATCCCTTACAACCAACTTCCAAGAGGCCACACCCTGCCTGCTCAGAATGGATCCAGGCATCTGAGACAGAGCCACCCTGGGAATTCTTACTGGAGAGAAGAGGAAATAGGACTCAACAGTCACAGACTAGCCTAAAACAGCATCTCAGTGTGGTAGCACCTCCTAGATTCTGGGTGATAAAGAGGGGGAGCAAGAAGCAGGCTAAAATTCACTTGTTAAAATAGACCTTACAGGAGGGCTTGGAGACAGGGCAAAAACTTACTGACAGAACTTTGCATAAGCTAACATCTTACACACACACACACACACACACACACACACACACACACACACACACACCTACCAGAGGGGACAAATGGTAGGATAAGACACTTGGTAGGGTACAAAGGCAAGAGTTTGGTTACAAGTATCTGCTCCCGCGATTGACCTGTGTCAGCGTCCTCAACTCCTTAGCATGGACCCTTCCTGGAAGAATGGAACCCTCACTTCCTATTAGAAACTCTGTCAGTCCCTCTGGACTCTGTCAGCTGTGGCAAAGGCCACCGTGGGAACTTTGTGTCACCTGGGAGGTCTGGAGCAAAGTGAGAGGAAGGGACCTTCCCCCACTCCCATGCCCATCCCAGGATGAAAGGCAGGCAGTATCTCATCCAGGACAGAATTTTGCCTGTGCTTCATAGGCCACTGTAGACGACATGTTCCTAGCTGATACTCTGCCTTTGGGACACCTACCCACCCCACACTGTCATTCATCCAAGTCCCTACCCTGGCTTTTTTTGGTCTCCTTCTACTGACCCTCCGATTCCTACAGGAGCTTTGAAATGAGGAAAACCACAGCAATGGAGGTGAAAACCTAATTTGTGAAGGGCCAGAGAGGAAGAGGGGGGAAAGTTGGAATTCAGCAGCTTGCATGTATCACTAATCTGGCCTGTCAAGTGTTCACATTCATGTGTGCATGAACCCATGTTCCCCTGACTCTCCATTCTGAGCAATGGTGATTCCTGTTGGTTGGGATGAGATGGTGAGGAGGAGGGCTAGATGAGACTTCCAGAGAGTTTAGGTTGGGGGCAGAATAAGGAGCTCTGTTTTATCTGCTTCCTCTCAGGGGGATACATGGTCAGTACCATTCTCTGTCCCACATGGGGAAGGCGTGGAGGTTAGGCCAGATGTCTCCAGCGCCCAGACAGTGCCTAGCAAAGGTTTGCCCTAGGCAGTGAGACTTCAGGAAGGGTTCCCTGGGACTCTCAGTCTGAGAGAAAACAGAAGCAGATCAACAGAGGTGCAAGGGGGCTTCTGGATGCCTGCTCTCAGTCACCAGCCCAGGCTTGCTGGACAGAGGCTGGCTCAAGAAACAAAGAAATGTAAGGGAAGCCACCTCAGAGTCACCCTTGCTTCCCTGACCTCCCTGACACTTGGTGGGGTCAAGCCTGATTTTTCATGATCATGTCGGCTCTGCCGTTGCCTGATGTCCCCAAACTCATATCCACCACGGACCAGGCTCCACTTTGATGCCCTGTGGCTGTTTTGGAGTGCTTCCTGGGAGACAGGCAGGGAGCCTGCGAGATCTCAGAAATCACAGAAGAGTCCAGCAGGCCCAGCTGCCTGTTCTCAGGGCAGCAGCACCCCTCCCCCACCCCACCCCCAGGCCCTCCTTATCCAGCACCACAAAGAGGCCCTAGTGCCTCTTGCTCCCTCTGGCACAGGTGTCCAGTCTCCTGTGTATGCCTCCTATATAGCTAAGTAAGTCCTCTCTCTAGCATGGCCTGGGACAGAAGGGGTTGGGAGAGTGGGGGTTGGGAAGGTGGGGGGGCTGCATGTGCTCCTCAGAAGAGGTCACACTTACTCCACTAAGCATTCTTCCCCCCCACACACACACATCTACAGAAGGAAAGGGATGCTAGAAGGACTTCCTGGTGATACAAGAGATGGAAAATAGCTAAGAGTCCTGGAAGGGCTGTGGGTCCCATGACACTCCTAAGGCTCCTCTTAGCCCCCTGCCCCTGTGGAGTGCAGGACTCACCCCTGGGAGAGTCTTCTGTTCGTGCAGGGCACTCTGGGCCTTCAGGGCTGAATCGCGGGCACAGTATGTCAGGAAGGCACATCCTGAGGAGATACAGGTGGAGAGACAGGGTTGGGGTGACTTCCCAGTTTCCACTTCCTAAGGGCACTGAGGATGGGGGAGGCATTTCCCCTTCTTGCCATCTCTGCCTGCTGGGTTGGGGAGCATCCCAGAGGGATAAAAATTATACCCTTTCTCTGGAGCAGGGACCCGGAGGTGAGGGACATGGGAGAGCATTTGATGTGTTGAGAGTTGGCGCTGAAACAGGAGCTGTGATTTCCAATCACCAGGGCCATGTGATTCTCTCTCTCTCCCTCTCCTTCTTCTTCCCTCCATCGTGGCCATTATCACCCTCTCCCCTCCCATTTCCTCTGCTTCTCACGTCTCCCAGACCCCACCGGAGGCAGATGTGGGGAGTGCATGGAGAAGGAAGAGGGAAAGCAGGGGCAGGAAGTGATCTTTCCTGAGCTAGCAGCGAGGTAGTGCAGCGGCGCTGGGATCCCAGCTCCTGGAGCTCTCCAAGTGCTGATCCCGGGCCGGCCCCGCTCAGCACAGCTCTTGGAGAGACCTCTGGAGTACTTTCCCAATAACTTTCTAAGTCCTACAAACCTTGTCCGGTCTCTCTTCTCCACGTCCTTCTCCTTTGCTCCCTTGCTTTAGCTATAGCCCACTCTTTCTAGGTTAACACATGGCCAGCCATCCCAACATTAGCTGGGGCTACTCACATTATCAATCTTGATTCTCCTAAAACTTACTGTCCTTCTGACCCTTCTGGAGTTCATCCCATGGCGTCAACACCCTCCTCCATCTACAGTGCAGAGTTCCCCTTAGTTTTCCAACCCTGTAACCCCTGTCACTCGACTGAGTTCCCATTCAGCTCCTCCAACCAGTCCCCAGCCCCTGAACTCTATTTCCGAATCATTCCTTTCCAGCCACTCCATCCCTCTGACTTCATCCATCCTTCCTGCCTCCTCTCCAGCCTGTCCTGACCCCTCACCCTTGTGCAGCCCGGTGTACTTGTCCTTGATGACAGTCAGCTCGAAGATCCGACCAAACTGCTCGAAGATGGGCTTCAGGTCCTTTTCCTCCAGATGCCTCGGGATCTGCCCCACAAACAGCTTGATGGCATCCGGCTCCTTCATTGGGGCGGCCCAGGAGGAGGGGCCAGGGGGAGCAGGGAGAGGCCCAAAGACAAGGGAAGCTGCCCAACCAGGAGTAGGCAGGTGGTGGGGCCCAAGGGCCCAGCAGGGCCGGCTTTCCCTTTGGCCCCCAACCACAGTGCTGATCAGAGGAGGGCTTGTCACACAAAGGAGGCCTGGGGAGTTGAGGCTAGGGGTCAGGGGTCTAGGCAGCCACTGTCAGGCCACCCGGGGGCATAGCCCAAACAAATGATCTCTCTCCCAGAGATCTGGCAAATATCCCAGGATGGGGGTCAGGGCAGCTAAGCCCTGGGGCGTTTGGGTGGTAGCAGAAGTGCTGGAGCTCAGAGAGCGGGAGAAAGGCGCAAATGCCAAAGGAGACGAGGAGAGAGTCAGAGGAAGGCAATAGGAAGGAGGCTGAGGGGCTAGGGGCCTGATTTGGTTGCCAGCAGCGACATGAGGGGTCCCTGCTCCTGATGTGGGGCAGGTGACTCTCTTGTTGGCTTCCTAGGGAGAACACCTCCCTTGTGGCTGATCCTTCTGCTGGGTCCGAAGATCCCTGATGCCAAATTCTTGATCTCTGATGGCGGCAGGGCTCCGGGGGTCCCTTCTGCCCTGCCCCCTTCAGGTTCTCCCGCGACCCCCCTCCCACCCCCACCCTGGATGGTTCCCCCGCCTGGGCTGCTGCCGGCTGGCTACTCCCGACACTAGGGCTGCCTGCTTTCCCGGTCACCTGGGTCCCGGAGCTCTGCTCTCCGGCCGCGCTCTCCTCAACAAAAACCTCCCCCCTCCACACCCCCCTCCCCATTCCCACCTCCTTTCCCCTGACGTCAGTGATGTCAGTCTCAGGGGTGGAATACAAATTCTCTACCCTGGAGAGAGACGCACAACCCATGCAAGAACCACTCCCTCTTTCTATCTATCCTCCCTGACTCTCTTTCCTCCCTAGAAGAGCAGCTGGTCTTGATAACAACCCTTCCCCCATTTTACTCCCCAATCAGGAGTTGGGCAATATACTAAGATGGAGAATTTATAGAGGAGCCCTAATGTGGGGTCCATTGTTCCGGGGGGCTGGAGCTGTCCCCGGTGCTGGAAGAGGAAGAGAAGACCCAGGGGATGGAAGCTGGGGGTGGGGAGTAGAGGAGAGTCTGGCATTTGGGAAGCCTGAGAATGAGGACCCAAGGAAGAGAAACAGAGAGCAGGAAGGCAGGCAGGTTGAGGGGCAGGAAGGGAGGTGTAGATGAGGAAGAAAGGGGTCACAGGGTCTGGGGAAAAAGAGCAAAAGTGAGGCAGAGAGGGGAAACCGCAGAGGGATGTGGGGAAAGAGACAGTGGAATTGAGTGCAGAAGAAAAAGGTCTGTATGTTTTCCCAGAAAAGGAAGCAAGGGAAACTATAGCAGTCTGGCATTTGCAGACACCCCCTTCCTTCTCTCTGAGGGGTTTGTGTGTATAAGTGCATGCTTGGGCAGGGAGGCAGCAGCTGGTGGCAGCTCTCACTTGAAGACCAAGACACTTGAAGACCAAGACACCCGTTTAATTCAGCATCCTACTATTATTCACAGAGTCTATCATGGTGTCTTGCTCTCATACACAGTAGGTGCTTAACAAACACTTCATGCAAAGAACCTGTGACATGTGGCGATTCCTGATTCCTTCTATGGGAGCAACCACTGCTCCCCTCGAGGGCCAGGACCAGTTCTACCCCCTCCTTTGCTCTGAGTCAGATGAGAAGAGCAAACAAAACAAAGCAAAAACAAACAAACAAACAAAACGCATTTAGGGACTATTAATCCCCCCAAGCAATTATACTTCTAACCCCGATCATGCATTCCATGAGCCAGAGGAAGGCTGGCCCTCTCTGCTCAGTGCAGGGTAAGCCTGTCAGCAGCAACTCTCAGTGGTGGCAGTCCTCGCTCATCATCCACACCTCACTGGCAGCTTCTGCAGAGTACCCTGCTTCCCTGTCACTCCATTCTCCCACCCAGGGTGGAGCTGATCTCTCTAGAGGAGTGTGGGTGTCTCTGAGACTCCCAGATGCATCCCAGAGGCCTCCATTCCTGAGTTCCTCTTCTGGAACTGAAGTAACGGAACCATGTGGTAGGCATTGTTCCAACTGTGTGAGAGTTTCTAACTTGTTAAACAGACCACCCTGTATGATATGAAGGAAGAAACCAAGCCAAGAGTGGTTAAATAACTTGCCCAAGGTCACACAGCTAGAAACACATCTAGCTGAGATTCCAGTGGGGGTAGGGTGGTCCCGAGTTCACACGCTCAACTGCCACACCTGGCATTCCATGTGGGAAGCCGGCCTTTCTTTCCCTCTGTGCTCACTGAAGCACTGCTTAAGACCTAGCTTAGCCCTTCCTCCCACTGCCCCATTCCCTGGTGACCACTTCTGCCTTCTTTAACCTGGGTTTCTGTGGCCTGAAGCTACATCCTGGCAGGTGTGTCTATTACAGTGAATGTCTGTGTGGAGACTTGATTACACTTCATCATGCAGATGCCCACATCTTCCCAGTAGGGTGCCCTAAAATGGAACAAGAGGGTGAGGGTAATAGGGGACTCCATGATGAGTGGCTGGGAGGTGCCATGGCAGTGCCGGGGGACCAGGAAGTGGAAATCTATCTTTCCCCACAGTAACTTTCCATTCACCCACCCCACCCCCACTCCTCCTTTCTTGCCTTCTTTCTAATCTGATCTCTGCATTCATGGAGACACTAAACAGATCACACCCTGTGAACATGGGGGACCCCACGGATGGGCCCACTGATCTCATTACTCTGTGTCTTCTCAGCAGATCTGCCGCCCTGCTGCTCATTCAGGATTGGGCCTAATCACATTAATTGAAATATTAAACATCCACAAAAACGAATTTCAATGAACCCCTCTCCCTCCTCCTCCCAGGCAGTAACCAGGAGGTAGCTGCAGACAGTGAAGGTTCTGGATCCTGAGCTCAGTTTCCAGTCCTGATTGGTCCTGCCAGTCTGGGAGAGAAGGTGCTAGGGAGACTCCCCAAGCTGAGTGAGTGGCTGTGGGCACATCTCTGAAGTCCTTTCAGTCTGAAGGGAGGAAAGCTCTGTGAGGTAAAGACTAAGGGGGGAGCCCCATGACTCAGGAGAAATGAGGCTTCAGGCCTTAATTCCCCCACAAGATTTTCTCTGCCCACCATCCACAAGCTTGCTCTTTCCTAGTCCTTTTCTGCCAAAGCTAAGCTGCCATGTATTGAGAGGTTACTGACCTTAAGGTACTGGAGAGGTGGCTCAGCAGTTAAGACCACTGGCTGCTCTTTCAGAGGACCCAGGTTCAATTCCCAGCACCTGTATCATGACTAACCATCATCTGTGATCCAGTTCCAGGCCATCTGATGCCCTCCTCTGGCCATTGCAGCAATACATGAACATATATCGTATCCAAACATACATGCAGGTAAAACACCTGTGTACATAAAAAATTTTTTAAATATATATTTTAAAATGGGGATAAAAGTGGTTTGGCATGCCTATAATCCCAGCACAGGGAGACAGGCAGGCAGATCTCTGTGTGTTCCAGGACAGTCTGTTCTACATATAGCAAGCTCCATGACAGCCAGCGTTACATGGAGAGGTCCTGTCTCAATTTCCAAGAAAGTTGCTGATTTTTAATTTTTATGTTTTATTTATTATTATTATCTTATTGGGGGGTGAGTGTGCCATGGCTTGCATGTAGAAGTCAGAAGACAACTTTGTGGAGTCATTTTCCTCCTTTAAACATTTTAAAATTACATTTATTGATTTATGTGTGTCCTACATGCATGTGTGTGTGTGCGCACACACATACACACAAACACATACCACAGTGCATGTGTGAAGGTCAAAGAACAGCTTTTTAAGAGTGGATCCTCTATTCCCTTTGACCTTTATGTGGTTTCTGGGGAAGCGAATGTAGGTCTTTAGGTTTATGTGACAAGTGTTTTACCCACTGATCATCTTGCTGTCTTGTTTGTCTATTACTTATTTATTTGAGACAGGTTTTCATTGTGTAGCCCTGGCTGTCCTGTGACTCTACACAGACCAGTTGGCCTCAAACTCACAGAGATGCTCTTGCCTCCGCCTCTGGAGTGCTGAAATTAAAGGCGTGCACCACCATGTCTGCCTTATTTCCTGACTTTTTAATGATTATCTATCTATCTGAGACAGGCTGGCCTGACCTCACTGTGTAGCCAAGGATGAACCTCTGATCTTCCAGCCTCTACTTCCCAAGAACTTGAGATTACAGGTATGAGCCATTGTGTCCAGCTTGTGAAATTACTTTTAAAAATAATTTTATGAGCCGGGTGTTAGTGGTGCATGTCTTTAATCCTAGCACTTGGGAGGCAGAGGCAGGCAGGTCTCTGAGTTCGAGGCCAGCCTGATCTACAGAGTGAGTTCCAGGACAGGCTCCAAAGCAATACAGAGAAGCCCCATCTCTAAAAACCAAAATAATAAAATAATAATTTTATGAGTCGGGCAGCGGTGGCTCATACCTTTAATGCCATCATTTGGGAGGCAGAGGCAGACAGATCTCTGAGTTTAAGGCCAGCCTGGTCTTCGGAATGAGTTCCAGGACAGCTGAGAAACTTGCTTGAGAAACCCTGTCTTGAAAGCTAAAACCAAAATAAACAAATAAATAAATCATGGAGCTGGGAGTGATGATTTATGCCTTTAATCCCAGGACTTGGGAAGCAGACTTTGGCAAATCTCTGAGTTTATGACTAGCCTGATCTACATAGTGATCTCCAAGCCAGTCAGGGCTACAGTGAGACCTGTGTTGTTTTTAAATCATTTTATGGAGCTGGGGAGATGGCTCAGAGGTAGAGTGCATGCATGAGGACCAGAGTCCAAATCCTCAGCACCCACAGAAAGTGTGGGTGCAGTGTTGAGTCTGCAGTTTCCCCACTAAGCAGCCAGAGAATGTGGACGTCTGCATTTCTGGGCCTTCCTAGTTGGTCTGGCCAGTCAGTGAGCTCTAAGTTCACTGAAAGAAATATGGTGAATGACTAACAATGGACAATGACCTCTTGTTTCCACACACATGGTCCACTTTATTCAAAATACTAATTCAGCATGCAGTGCACATAAAATTGTTGAGTCTTCAAGATCCAGAGTGTATTTTAAATTTCTGGCATATCTAACACAGCCACCTCTCAGACATTCAAGAATTGAGAGACTGTGGTAGCCACACTACCTACAAGTCTGTGGATTTCATTGTAGCCTCTTCCTGTTCAGGTAGGAGGAAGTCTGCCTTAGCTGATAGAAACTATCACCTGAGGGTAACCCTCTGCTCTGTCTGGGAAAACATTACTTCTTCCTGTTCAGGGTAGGAGGAAGCCTTAGCTCATAGAAACTATCACCTGAGGGTAACCCTCTGCTCTGTCTGGGAAAACATTACTTCTAACAGATGGTCGCTTATCTCCCTCTCATCATTAACTCTCTCTCCTAAAAAAAAAAAACAGATGAACAGCCCAAATGATTGCTAACCCAGATGGGTTCCTGGGAAGAGGTTTGTAGCCACTAACTGACTCACCTGCACTGTTCTATCTGGAAATGTGGAAAGCTGAAGATCACAGACAGATCCCTCCGTGGCTTGACATTTATCTTGTTTCTCACACTATGTCTTTGCTCTGAGGGGCAGTTGTTCACAAGTCCCTAACTCTTTTGGGCTTCTGTCTCCTCTGTCTCAGAAGGTCTCTTGCTGGGCACCATCTCTGAGAGCAGGAAAAGCTGCTGTGCACTGTGGGCTTGTGTGTGTGTGTGTGTGTGTGTGTGTGTGTGTGTGTGTCTGTTGACACAGGCTCTTGCCCTTTCCAGGAAGCTATTTTGAGAACCATGGGTTTATGTTTCACTTACCCTTCTTAATTAGATACTAGAAGAACAAATCTTGCAGTCAGTTCATTCCCTTTCTCTTTCTGTATTCAGTCAAGAGTGAAAGAAATAATTTACAATTTATGAGGAAACTAGGGTAAGGAGAAAATTGATCAACCTGAGGAAGTCATTCCAAAAAAGGAAATTCTGCCAGAGGGCTGGCCAGGTCCAGCATTCTGAGTTTGAGAATGTTCTTATCTTTGCAGAGATTGGCTCCCACCATGCTTTGGGGGTGCTTTCATATTTTAGGAACCCAGGCCTCCAGTATCTAGTGTCTGTCTACAGAACAGACGGAATGCTTGGCTTCTGGGCCAGTAGGAAGGGAAGAAGCCTGCATTTTTCTATGCAAGCACAGAATCTGCCCAAGCTGGAAGCTAGATTCAGAAAGACCCTGCATTAGCAACCTGTGATGTGGTTTGCTCTAGCTAAGTAAATGCACGATTCGAGGTCGAGTGGGGTCAAGAAAAAAGGTTCATTTCATATACAATTCAGCTCAGAAATCGGTCTTTAAGTGTGGGGAAATTGATCCCTTAGAGACCCCAAATCTAAGTTCATTCAGTTGAAGAGTGGCCTCCACCGCGCTTCAGTCTGTAGGATTTGCCTTCCCTGCCAGGAAAGGATTGGATTTGTAGAGGGGCGGGGCCAGGGGCGGGACGGACAGCGGGGCAGTGCTTCGTTTCTCCGCGGCCCGTCGCCTAGACAACCGACTACAGCGAGATGGAGCCGTTACCCGGAGGGATAGTGGGGCCGGATCCCGGAACTCTGAGCCCGGAGCAACTAGAGCAGTTGAGAGATTTCAAGGTGCGTGAGTTGGCATCTCCTAATACCGATCGAAGTGAAGCTCCTCAGGACAAAGGTCCAGGGAGGAGACCCCTGGAGAGGGGAGCAGGGAGGGGGGGCGAGGAGGGCTTGTTCCCCGAGATGAGTGCCGGAGGATGATGGGTGGAGCCCAACTCGCCAGGCATTTGAAAGTGCAAGACAGTCAAGTAGGAGTCTGGCCCGAGAAGTGGCCGGGGATGTAAGTCAGTTTTGCACTAACCACTGAGTTCCAGTCTTCTCTACCACCACCACCTCCTCCTCCTCCACCGCTTAAAGTAGCACGCCGAGGTAGAGGTAAGAGGATCAGGAGTTCGAGGCCAACTTCACCAAGCTCCAGAACAGCCCAGGCACTATGAATCTCTGCCTGAAGAGAAAAGAAATGGGGCTGCTTCAAAGAAAACTTTAAAGACTGTGCTTGGGCGCCCAGGAAAAGACCTGGCTTGTCCCCCACTTCACACCTCCTTCCCAGGTTGAACCCTGGATCTGTCTCCCCAGATCTTTGACTCTTGGTTGTTGCTCCTTAGATCCAGACTCGGATCGCAAATGAAAAGTACTTGAGGACACACAAAGAGGTGTCGCTGCTCATTAGCGGCTTCTTCAGGTAGGTGGATTGACAGGCTGGCCTTAGGTGGCTATTAAGAATAGATGAATGGGTAAATGTGTGTGCCTCTTTTTTCTCTAGACATTCTATTAGCCACAGGGAGAATCTTCAGTTTGAGGTCAGCCTGAGTTACACAGTGAGACTCGAACAAAAAGAATAGCAAAACTGTTCCCTCTTCCTTTGATTGTTTGCTTGCTTGCTTGTCTTTTCAAGACAGGGTTTTATATAGCCAAGGGTGACCTTGAACTCAAACTCATTATGTAGTATAGGCTAGCCTTGAACTTGTGATGGTCTCTTGCCTACATCCTCCCAGGTGTTGGAACTACACAAATGCATCAGCTCATCTTGGTTTGGACCTCATAAAAGTTAGGAAATTCCTTAATTCAATCTTTCATAACTCTACAGTTACCTCTATATTCTTTAAAATACTAATGTTCATTCAACTGTAAAAATAAACATTAATATTTAACTCATGACCCAGGAGAAGGAATGTGGCAGAGGAGGAGAGTGTCCCAACTGTGCAGACACTTGGGCCTTGCTTACGTGAGAACACTGTACAATAATAACAGGAAGCCGAGGCTTAGGGACTTTTGGGAGACTGAGGCAGGAGGATCATAAGTTCAAGACCAGTCTGGACTGCATTAGCGAGGCCCTATTTCTAAAAAGAAAGAAATAAATAAAAAAGAAAAAGATTGAGGTAGAAGAATACTGTTTTCCAAAATTTGGTGGTAATCTCATGGTCACACCATTTAGGAGGTGCAGGCAGGAGGATTTGTGAATTCAAGGCCAGTTAGATGACAGAGTGGAACCCTCAAAAGAGCAAAAATTAATAGAGAAACAAATCAAACTCCCATTTCCCGGTGTGTCTTAGGTGTGTTTCTTCAGTGCATCCCATTGGAATAGAAAAATCTCAGAACCCAGAATGGCCAAGGGGTGAAGACATTGGACTTAAGACTCTGGATGTGGCACACACCTTTAATCCCAGCACTCGGGAGGCAGAGTCTACATAGCGAGACCCTGCCTCAAAATAATCTCCTAATGGGGTAACAGGAAAAGAACCAAAGACAAGAATCATGGAGCAGCATGGATGGAAACAAGAGGGCTCGCTCAAGTTCTCTTTGGCTACAGCCAAGTCAGCACAGTTAAAATAACACTGGCATTCACTTGTAGATGCTGTTCCCTCCATCAGCAGTCAGCAAACTGTATTGTGATGGTGTTGTCAATCTTTGACTTATGTTGCTAGTCCAATGTTCCAAGCTAGCGGTACCATGTGTGTCTCCACAGAATCCATACTGTGATGGCATCTTGGTAACATTTCCATGATTCCCCACCCCCACCCCCACCAGTAACTCTATAAAAGATAGATGATGATTCTGAGACAGAAGTTCATTTTGTAGTCCTGGAACTCTCTCTGTAGACCAAGCTGGACTCAAACTCACAGAGATCTGCCTACCTGTACCTCCCAATTGTTGGGATGAAAGGTGTGCACCATCATGTCCAGCCCATTATTATTATTTTTGTTTTGTTTTGTTTTTTTGAGACAGGGCTTCTCTGTGGCTTTGGGGCCTGTAATGGAACTTACTCTGTAGATCAGACTGGCCTCTAACTCACAGAGATCCACTTGCCTCTGCCTCCCAAGTGCTGGGACTAAAGGTGAGCACCACCAATGTCTGGCCCAGCCCATTATTTTTAAAAGCTATCTAATGGGGGCTGGAGAGATGTCTCAGTTAAGTCCATTTGCTGCTCTTACAGAGGAACTGGGTTCAGGTCCCAGTACCCACTTAGTGGCTAGCAGCCTATAACTCCAGTTCTATGGAATCTGACAACTTCTGAACTCCACAGGCATCAGGCATGCAGGTAGTGCATCTACCTCCATGCAAAAAACCTATTAAAAAAAAAAAAAAAAAAGAAAGAAAGAAAGAAAAGAAAAGAAACCAAACCAAACCAAAACAAAACAATAAAAAAAAAAAAAACAAAATGAACCCCCACACACATACATATAAAATAAAAATGTATCTTAAAATGAAATAAAAGATAGTTTACATTATTGTTTCCATATTTGCAAACGAAACAAGTAAAGTTCAGGGATGGGAAGTACATTTCTCAAGCTGCTGACCAAAGAACCAAGTATTTTCCACCCTCTGGCTCTTTCCACCATATGGTGCTGTGTGCTTAGGTGCACCCGGAACCCCTGTGGCAAAGTGCTTGGTTACCATGTGTGAGGCCCTGGGTTCAAGCCCCAGTACCCAGGTTCTCCAAGCCCCTTTTACTTTTCCCTGGGTCTCACTAGTCTTCATATTTTGGCCATTTCTCCAAGGAGCTTCAGATTCAGATCCACACAGCAGGTAGGGGAGGAGTTAGTGAACCTTGAAACCTTGTCTTTGTGAAGGGCAGATTCATTATGGTTGGGGTAGATGATATTATGGGGCAAGCCCGTGTGCTGGGGCACACTTCTAATCCCAGCACTCAGAAGGCAGAAAAAGCAGATCTATGTGTACTCAAGGACCATTTGATCTACATTGTGAGTTCCAGACCAGCTGCCATGTCTATATACTTAGAATCTGTCTTTTAAAACACACACACACACACACACACACACACACACACACTGGAGTCCTCTGCCAGTGTCTGATGTGAGGGTCATGTTTGCATTTTTTTTATTCTAAAGGGAAATAAGGAATGACATGGCTCCAATTCTGGGAGCTTGCGGTCCAAGCTGGGAATGGTTCTGGCAGAGAAAGTGAAAACAGACATTGAGGACCTGCATTTTATCTACACTGGCATCCACAAACACAGGGTCACAACACTGGGTGGTGAGTGGGGGCGTGGAGTGCTGGCCGGCCCTGTGTCTCTGTCCAGGAAGTTTCCAGGAAGAGGCTGGGGTCTGGGCCCAGCTGCTGCAATACCCCTGCAGCTCTGAAAGCCATCATCTTCCCTTCTTCCCTCCTCCCAAGGCCAAGCAGCCCAGTCTGCAGCTCACCTGGGCAAACTCCTCCTGGCCCCTCTCAGGCTCCTCTCTGGGGTGGTGTTTGAAGTATGAGGCTAGTTTTTGTTTGCCTGTGCTTTCCTTGAGCCTTACCAGAGTGAGCCAGAATCAGCTCAACTTTGTTCTGGAAACTTTACCCAGTCCTATGTGAAGAGGAGGGAGGAGGATGGGCCAAAGGAAGGCAGCTAGCCTTTTCAGTTCTCCCCGCCCCCCCCCCGTGGGAAGTGGGGGGGGGCTGTGACAGAGCTCCTGTTGGGAAGGCTAGCTCTGCTTGGGCTTATGAATTCTGTAAGTTGTGGCCATACTGCCCCCGTGCCTCAGATACAGTGTGAAGAACTCTTAGTACCTTCAGTCTGGACCTCAGAAGTTAGAAAAGAGACTAAACTTACATTAAGTACCAGAAACCTCAGACTTAGGGCTGGGGATGCAATGTGCACATGTGTAGGGGAGTCTTCCCAAACTATAGCTCTGGTCTGTCAGTCCTTGTCTTCAGTGGCTCCCAACTTCAGCTCTTTTGTTTTAAACAACCTGTTGAAACATATGAACAAGCGACAAATCTTAAGTTGGATTAACTTTCCTGTACAAGTGACAGTCTGGATGGAGAAACTGAAATTTACCAGCAGCCCGAGTGATCCTGTTTGATGTGGGATAATGCTCATGTACACTGTAATGATGTGTCACCCTTATTTGGTTTAATAAAACACCATTTTTGTTTGTTTGTTTTGGTTTGGTTTTGGTTTGGTTTGGTTTGGTTTTTCGAGACAGGGTTTCTCTGTATGGCTTTGGAGCCTGTCCTGGAACTATCTCTGTAGACCAGGCTGGACTTGAACTCATAGAGATCCACCTGCCTCTGTCTCCTGAATGCTGGGATTAAAGGCATGTGCCACCAACACCTGGCTAATAAAATACCATTTGGCCAGTAGCCAGGCAGGGAATAAAGGCGAGGCTAGCAGAGTAGGAGAATTCTGGGAAGAGGAAGGAGGGAAAGAGTCATCAGCCAAAGACTCAGACAAAGCAAATGAGAATGCCTTACTGAGAAAAGGTACCAAGCCATGTGGCTAAGCATAGATAAGAATTATGGGTTAATTTAAGTTGTGAGAGCTTGTTAGTAATAAGCCTGAGCAATAAGCCAGTTTATAATTATTATAAGCCTCTGTGTGTTTATTTGGAACTAAAGCGCTTCCGGACTGTGTGAGACAGAAACTTTCATCTACATTATTACTGTGATTTCACACAAAGTCTCACAATACAGGCCATGCTGGCCTCAGTCTCTCAGGTGATGGTGTGAGCTATGTTGCTGGCTTCTAGCAGCACAAATCCATTACCCTTTTGTGTCTATGTACATGGCATTCTTGAATCCCTGCCGTCTGTATTTGCCTCCTTCTACTCAGTTATCTCCATTCTGTGACTGTGCAACTCCAGCACATATTGCCATTCCTATTCCCTTTTTCTGGTTCATGGTGCCAGGCCACCCAGTACCTTGTGCTAAGCACATACCCTACCAGCCCACCCACCACCTCCCATCATGAGTGATTCACTTGTCTTTCATGTCTATATGCTGACCAAACTAAGCTCTCTAGTTACTCCCCAAGCACTGTCCTGGACCCTGGGGATACAATAGTAGATACAGCCCAGCTGCTAACCTCAAGGCAGTCACACACAGGACACAGGACTATTTCCATCTCTGGGCCTTGGTTCTTGCCATTTCCCTGAACCTGGACTGTTCTTGTCTCTCATCCTTCATTCTTCCTAATTAGATCCCATTTGTACCACAAGGGTCCCTTCCAATCTAATTACTCTGTGAAGGGTTTTGGGGTCCCACTTTTAGAAACCATTTGTCTTAGGATTCCTATTACTATGAAGAGACACCATGGCCTTGGCAACTCTTATAAAGAAAAATATTTAACTGGGGCTGGCTTACGGTTTCAGAGGTTTAGTCCATTTTCACGGTGGGAAGAGCAGCGGCATGCAGCTGGACATGGTGTAGAAAAGGAACTGAAAGTTCTTCTGAATCCGAAAGCATCAGGAAGAGACACAAGGCCTGGCTTGAGCTTCTGAGACTCAGTGACACACTGCCTCCAACAAGGCCACACGTCCTATTAGTGCCACTCCTTATGGGACTACAGAAGCCACTTTTATTCAAACCAGCACACTATTCTTCTCTCCCAAAGCACTATTTAATTGTTTTCTTTTTTCGCAGTTACTTGAAGTTCCTTGGCCTTTTAGGAAACTTATCATTTCCTTTTGTCTGTAAGATCTTTGGAGTAGGGCTATAGTTTTCACTCACCAGCAAGCACACACATATACGTGCGTGTGAGTGTATGTGTGTGTGCGTGTGAGTGTGTGTGTGTGTATACACCCATATGCACGCTTGTGGAGGCTGGAAACCTCATTCACAGGGTCTCACTGAACCTGGAGCAGGGCTGGTGGCTGGCAAGTCCCAGAGATCACCCCGCTTCCAGTCCTCTCAATGTTGGCATTATAGGCACCGGGTCAGGGTCCAGCTTTTGAAATGGATGTTGGGGAATCTAGGTTCAGGTCCTCATGCTTGGGCAGCAAGTGTTCTTTGCTACAGAGTCATCTCCCTAGCCCCTATCATTGTTTTTTCTTATTTTAAAATCATTCTCCTGTATTGTAGTTACTTGTAATTCATACTCAATGTGTGTCAAATTGAATTGAAGGAGAAGGGAAACAAAATTATTGAAGCTTGGGCTTTCTCAGCAGGGGAGTCTTTGGCCAAGAGAGCACCTGGAAGTGGAGGTGGTTGGCAGGCCACCACAGCCGGAGGCCAGGCAAACACTGTAGGGAGCCCTGGCCTTGGGCACATAAGACCTGGGTCCCATCTCCTTTATTTATTATCTGTATGGACTTGGACAAATGATTAAATGATTAACTTTTTTGAGGCTTTTCTTTTTATAGATTTATTTATTTATTATGTATTATTATTTATTATGTTCTGCCTGCATGTATACCTGCAGGCCAGAAGAAGGTACCAGATCTCATTATAGATGGTTGTGAGACACTATGTGGTTGCTGGGAATTGAACTCAGAACCTGTGGAAGAGCAGCCAGTGCTCTTAACCTCGGAACCATCCCTCCAGCCCGAGGCTTTTTTTTTTTTTTTTAATGTAAAATGGCAATATATAATTTTCATTATATATTTCATTATAAATGAAATAGTATTAGTGAATATTTTATGAAGCCTAGAACTTTCTGGGCTGTCAGACATTTCTAGCATCCTGATGGCAAAATCTTCATTCATGTCTGTGTAGCAGAGCTAATAACCCATCTGAAGTCTTTAGCTTTGTTTATTGTCTCCCTGGCCTTGGGGAATCCATGGGTAAACTTCCTCAGACCATTCCAGGGTCGAATTTCTGTCCATTCAGCATGAGCCCCTTGGTGACCCGGATGATAGTCTTGCCATTGGCCATGCTTGGTCCAGGGTTTGTAAGAGCATCCTGTCTGCTCCACAGCCCAAGTGAAATGATTATGGCCTATGTTTATTGTTGCATTGGATGCTTGGTTTATGCTTTTTTGAGACAGGGTTCCTCTGTGTAGCCCTCACTGGCAGGGAACTCAATTATGTAGTCCAGGCTGGCCTGGAACTCACAGAGATGCCCCTGCCTGAATTTCCTGGGTGCCCAGATTAAAGGCGTGGTCACCACTCCCAGTCAGTCCATTGTTTCGTTCCTTACCTCAGACCCTGGGGTTTTCATCTAAGATCCCCTGATTTATTGATGACTTCTAGAATGGGAATGCCTGTCATTAATCTGCCTCCCAAAGAGCAAGATGGGGCAGCGGCCACAGCCTGCACAGCCCCCGTTTATCTCCTCCCTTATATCTTTCAATGTTTTCCAGAGAAATGTTTCTGAAAAGACCAGACAACATCCTCGAATTTGCTGCACGTGAGTACAGCGGCAGGCACCAGGGTATCTCACGTGCCTGTTCAGGAAGCAGAATGGTGGGGGGGGGGGGTTAGAGTTGGGCAAGCCCAGGACTTTGTGTGGGATCTGGGTCTTCCCTTGGTGTCTCCCACAGGAGCTGTTTTTTGAAGTCTTTTTCATTTCCCCGACTTTTCCTCAAAATGAGGCAAGACTTCTCTTGGTGAAGATTAGGAATTTGTGAGATTCCCAAAGGAGAGCGGGCCAGCCCTAGTCCATGGGGTTCTTAAAGTGGTGCCTGACCCAGGCTGCACATTAGAACCACCTGGGGAGCGTTTAAAAAATACTGAAGCTCAGTTTTATTTAATTAATCTGGGGCCGGGGGGGGGGGGCAGCAGCCAAGGTTTTGAAGGCTCCCTAGGTGGTTTTTAATGGACTCTGCTACCGAGATGGCTTAAGGGTCAAACAGTGTGAAGTGCGAAGCTGGGCGGTGTCTTGGGTGCGGTTAACCCTGGGAGCCCATAACGTTGTAAGCACGCCTTTGCTGCACTGCCACAGCAGATGCTGGCTGTGACTCACATTCTTCCTGGTGTAAAAACCCTCTTCTGTCGTCATGCTGTGAGCCTGGCTCTCCTGGGAGAGGGTGTTCTCAGAAAAGGGCTGCATTTCAGAGGCCAGAGTTGGCAAGTTGAGTGGAGACCCGAATAATATTTGGTGTTTATTTGGGTCCAAAAATGGACCTGGATCTGAGCACTTAACAATCCCTGAGCCCTTGGTAACTCCCTGAGCACCAGGAGGGCCAAGAGCCCAGAATGGGCAAACTGCTTAAGGCTTGCCTGGGATGGTTTCCTGGCATTCATGAGGCAGCTGCCAGGGACTCGCAGAGATGGTTTTGTAAAGTGGGGACCTCCAGTGAGTGCGGCTAGGACAAAGCACCAGACTCTTTAGTAGAGTAAGCTGTTGCCCAGGCTTTCCCCTTTAGTATAGATGATTTCGTTCTGATTTTCATCCCAGACTATTTCACGGATCCAAGACTTCCCAACAAGATTCACATGCAGCTAATTAAAGACAAGAAAGGGGCCTAATTAGCAAAGCCACAACACTCAGCTGCTGGGAGAAGCCAGAAGGAATCCAGCCTTGGGTGGGTGTTAGCCGCCACTCTTGTGAAAAGCAACACGGGTTTATGGGTCCAGGCTGTGAAAGAAAGCAAGCCTGGAGACGGGAAATGTACAAGTATGCCATTTTCCTGACAATGTAGGAGGCTTACTTAGAGTGTCTCTGTGTCAGTGACAGGTTCTAGTGAAAGAGAGAGAGGATGGGTAGGGGAGGTGTCCAGGGCGATGGGGGATGGAGAGTAGTCAGCACCCAGGTCCTCTCCTGAGCCTTAGGAGGTGAGGTGTGCTCGGGTGGGGTGCAGCTTCCCTCCTGCATCCCTTCTCCTTCTTTCCTCTTAGACATCATGATGTGCCCTGGAGGTCAGTGCTTGTTTTATCAATCCCCCCCACTCCCACCGGGCAGGGTGATTCCTGAAGCCATTTTGAGGGCTGGAGGGGGTTTTTTAGTAGTTTGTTTGCTTTTTCTTAATGTGAGGTGGGAGAGGCCACCCTCCTAATCTAGTGAAACCACTTCTGTTTTGCAGGGTCACCTGGAGGCCTGAGAGCCCAGTTGCCATCAGTCTGGGTTTCCAAGATGTATAGGCCTCTTCCTCTCACAGAGGCCTTCAGAGCCTCTCATTAAATCCAGGCCTGCCTGTTCTATCTCTTATTTTCATTTGGACCCAGGAAGGTGCTGTGCATGTGTGTGTGTTGGGGGTACCTACTGTGCCTGACTCCAACTGACCCTTTTCTCCTTGAGGTGGCCGGGGGTTTGGAGTGTCAGGGGCTGTTTCCACTCTAGCCACTCACCAAACGGTGAGCAGGGCTGGGGATCCTAAGAAAACCACAGTTGGTTGTGGCGGGATAAAAACAAGTGAGTCCATATTTCGACCTCCAGTGATCTTATGTGTAAGGTGGTGATTTATTTTGCTTTTCATAGTAGCAGTAGTGAGAGAAACTGGGCTGGGAGGACATCAAGAGAGGACAGGTAGTGAAAACCCAAGAGGGGCCACGGATATTGTGAAACACATACCTGACTGGTGGGCGGCTGGGGAGGTGGGCGGAGGGAGGACCTGGTTCTGGAGGCAAACTGCTCATCTACTTGATGTCTGGCTAAGACGCAGCAAGATGGTTCGGGTGGTGGCATGAAGCCCTTTGCACATTTAGGAGCCTCTGTGTGTGTGTGTGTGTGTGTGTGTGTGTGTGTGTGTGTCTGTGTATCTGTGTATATCTCTGTGTGTGTCCGTATGTGTGTCTCTGTGTGTGTCTGTGTGTATATCTGTGTGTGTGTCTGTGTGTGTGTCTGTGTGTATATCTGTGTATATCTCTGTGTGTGTCCGTATGTGTGTCTCTGTGTGTGTCTGTATGTGTGTGTTGCGCATCTTTCAGGTCTTTGGCCTCAGCCTTTGACCTCTGCAGTCCGCTGGCTCTGCCATATAAAGGAGCTCTAGTGTCAGCATCGCCATGGCAACAGAAACACAGGTTGGGTGTTATTTGTATTCCCTTGCTTCTAGCTGTCCTCACTTGCAGTGGTAAAAAGGGAAAGGGAACAGGAAGACTCAGAAAGCACATTAGTTATGAAGTGGAATCCTCAGGAGGTTAATCAGTTTTTAAGATAGAGTCTCACTCCATAGCACAGGCTAACCTAGAATTTGCCATGATCTTCCTGCCTCAGCCATAGCTTTGAAAGTACTGGAATTGTGGGAACTTGCTGCTTGCTGCACCTGGCTTTGGAGGAGTTCATTCTGTGCTTTCAGCATGTCTGACATGGACAGTAGGGTATCCAGAAAGGGGGCTCTGGAGATAGTGAAATGCTTGCTTTGTAAGCTGAAGGACCCGAGTTCAAGCCCCAGAACCCACATTAAAACACACACACACACACACACACACACACACACACACACACACACACGAAACCCAGGTGTGGTGTGTACACTTGTAATTCCAGAACTGGGGAAGCAGAGACCAGGGGATTCCTGGGGCTTGCTGGTGAGCCCACCTGGCCTACTATGTGAGTCCAGGCAGGAGAAAGACTCTGTTTCAAATACAAAGTGAAACAAATAAAAGTGGACAACATTGGAGGCTGCCCCCTGGCCTCCACGTGTGTTAATGAAAGACCCCCAGAGACCCCAAGAGTTTGGAGCCTGTCAGGGGGAAGGCCCTTGCCCCCAAGAGACGAGACCAGACCACTGGATGCAAGTGCAAGAGGTTGTTTATTGTTTACACAGGTACCTGTGGACGCTTCAGTCTTTCCGGGGGACTGAGCGTGCTGAGGTTAAAACTCAGGCAGTTTATATAGGGTTGGGGTGGCAAGAAGCAGGCTTACAGAAGCAGAAGCATGGTTACAGGGATTTCATTGTTTCATCTAAATGTAGCAGTTGTAGTTAACCAAGGACAGTTGGTTATTCGGGTTGGGCACAAAGAATACAAAGAATTCAGTTATGACTATCTCAGCATACTGGACACTGTCCTGCTGACCTTGCTTTGGTCCAAGCTGCAGACCACAGATATCTGGTTGGCGTTGGATGAGAGCAGCACCTGGTTCCCTCCTGTACTTTTCTCATAGTTTGACCTTGGCAAATTAGCAAGAGCAATTTAAACAGGCAATAAGCATAGTGGGGGTCTTTCATTAATATGCACACACACACAAACATACACAGGAACAAATTCTGGTGTGGTGGCTCATCTCTATAACCCCAGCACTCAGAAAGCTGAGGCATGGTAATTGCTATGAATTCCAGGCCAGCTTGGACTAGCTATAACATGTGGTCCTGTCTCAAACAAAGTTGGAGAGATGGCTGCACGGTTAAGAGCACATGCTACTCTTCCTAAGGACCTGAGTTTGGTTCCCAGCTCTCATATCAGGTGGCTGAGGGGGATCTGAAGCCTCTGACCTCTGGTGGCACTTCCATTCATGTGCACATACTCCCTTCTCCTCACATAGACACAATTAAAATAATAAAAGCAAGTCTTAAAGACAGACAAAGCAAGTTTTGATCAGAAAACACAGCTTAGATGCTTGCTCCTTTGGGCCCACCCAGTGAGAAGAATGTACTAAGATGGGGACATGGTAAATTTTGAGGTGCTTGTGTGCTGGCTATAATACTGATGGAGTATACAATGCTCATTTTTGGGTGGTTCCCTGATAGAAATGAGGAATGTATGTCTCCTTTATTGTTTGGTTTTCTTTAACACATTTTTAAAGTTTTACCTATTTTTATTTTGTGTGTATGAGTGTTTTGCTTGTATGTATGTATGTATGTATGTATGTATGTGAATCACAGTAAGCCAGAAGTTAGATGCTCTGGAACTGGAGTTACACACATTTTGAGCCACCATGTGGTTGTTGGGAATGGAACGTAGGTCCTCTAGAAGAGCAGCCAGTGCTCCTAACCAACCTGTTTTATGTGACTTTTCATGTTGGTATACAAAGAAATAGGTTCCACTGTGATATTTGTGTACATGTATGCGTTAGTCAGGGTCCTCTAAAGAACCAGAACTGATAGAATGAATTCATCTATACACATTAAGAGGAGATTTATCACAGTGGTTTACAGGCTTGGATCTGGTAGTCTGACAGTGGCTGTCTACTTGGAATTCTGAAGAAGTAGGTTCTAACCTTGGCAAAGAAACACCTCAGCAGATGAACTTACCAGTGAGAGTGAGGACAGCAGACACAAAGCAAAAGCTTCCTTCTTCTGTGTCCTTTATGTGGGTGCCAGCAGAAGGTGTGGCCCAGATTTGGGGTGGGCCTTCCCACCAAACAAGAGAAGTTCCTCACAGGGGTGCCCAGGTGCTTGGGTTTTAGTTGATCCCAGGTCGAGTCAAGTTAACAACCACAGTCAGCCACAAAAGCATGTCGTTATATGTTCTTATCCCCATTGCACTCCAGCCGCCTCTCCTTGCATACCTCATACATTTCAAATCTTCTCAAGAAAAAACAGGAGTTTTAACCCTTGGTGGTAGGTTTCTCTGTGTCCTTGGGACAAGAGGCTCTCCCCTCTAAGGTTGTTTGTGACCTGGGGAGATGGTATTTTTTCCCCCAAAACTTTACCTGGATACCCCCTTTTTCGTTGTTTATTTTTGCTTTTTGAGACAGTTTTTTTTTTTTTTTTTTTTTTTTGTCTGTAGCCCTGACTGTCCTGGAACTTCATCTACAGACCAGGCTGGGCTTGAACTCAGAGATCTGCTGGCCTCTGTCTCCCAAGTGTTGGGATTAAAGGTGTGTGTCACCACTGCCTGGCTAAACATTTCATCTTCAGCTTGAAAACTCCAGCTGGGTGGGAACCAGGCTTGTCTCTCAGCAGTGGCTGAGGAAGGACAGGTGTGGAGGGAGTGAATGTGCCATCATGGTTCAGTATATCAGCAACTATAAAGGCAAGCACATATAGCTATGACAGAAGCAGGTATGTAGTATGGGAGAAAGGAGAAAGAACACCAGGTTTGGCTGGGGGGCTGAGCGTGGCATGGGCAAGAGTTTTCCAGGTAGATTTGGAAAGCAGCAGGAAATCAAGTACCCATTACTCCTGTTAGCTGAACAGTAGGTGGGGACAGGGTCTATTTATCAAGTTTCTAGCCACCACCTTATTGTTTTGATCTTGTTTGTGTGAGACAGGGTTTCACTGTGTAGTCCAGACTGTCCTTGAACTCACTCTGTAGACCAAGCTGGCCTCAAATTCAGAAACCAGACTTCCACTACCCCCTCTCCCAGTACTGGGATTAAAGGTGTGTGCTAACACAACTGGCCTGAGTCTCATATAGCCTAGGCTGGCCTCAAATTTGCTATGCTGGCAAGATTGACCTCAAACTCCTGCTCTTCCTGTCTCCACCTCCTAGTGTTAGGATTACAGGAATTACCACTACATCCATCTCAGATTATAAACCTTGCTGACAACAGGTTTGTCCAGGGTAGTAGTTAGCAAAGCCTTGAGTATTTGTTCATATGGGATCTAGGCCAATAAACATTGTCATAACATTGACATTTCCTCATTTCAAGCCTCCCTTGCAGCTAGGATCAGCCCATGGGCCTGTGCACTGTATGTAACAGGATGCTGAGAAGTCTGGGAAGGCCCTTGCTTGCTTGAGTGGGGCTGGTAGAACAGATGTAGCACTTGCTTTTCTTTCTGATTTGGGCCTGAATGTAATGGAGCCGGTCTGGCAGGCATTATAAGAACATATGAAATAACACGTGTCAGGGTAATGCCAGTCTTCTGAAGCAACAGGGAGGAAAAGTCAGAAGATCCCAGGCCTTGGTGACTTCTTGGTAGGGAAGGGAGCAGTTTGGGAGGAGATGGCAGAGAGAAGACAAACCGCAAAAAGCAAAAGCCCTTACTAGGCAAAGGCTACATTTTTATCTGTGAGATAGAGAGCTAGCAAAGAATTTTAAATCATGATAAGCTCCAGGGGAGAGATTAGTTTGTGCAGTTTGGGAGAGAAAATAAGGGAAGGAGGACTACAAAAGGCCTGTGGGGAGACATGAGCCAGCACTGTGTCTCACTGGCACCCTTGCAGTCACCAGTGTGCCCTCGAGAATGGGCTTAGTTTCATTACTAGGAAGTCTGCTTGCAATAGCTTCAATGCTGGGATTATTTTCCTCAGTAATTCTGGTGGCAGCAAGATTCAGAGTTTCCAGGATGGTGGCAGGGATTGTGGCCTTTCTTG